TACCGGTATCTAGTTAGTAAACACGTCGCTACCAACTACCGGTATCTAGTCAGTAAACACAACGCTACCAACTACCGGTATCTAGTTAGTAAACACGTCGCTACCAACTACCGGTATCTAGTTAGTAAACACAACGCTACCAACTACCGGTATCTAGTTAGTAAACACGTCGTTACCAACTACCGGTATCTAGTTAGTAAACACAACGCTACCAACTACCGGTATCTAGTTAGTAAACACGTCGCTACCAACTACCGGTATTTAGTTAGTAAACACAACGCTACCAACTACCGGTATCTAGTTAGTAAACACGTCGCTACCAACTACCGGTATCTAGTTAGTAAACACAACGCTACCAACTACCGGTATCTAGTTAGTAAACACGTCGCTACCAACTACCGGTATCTAGTTAGTAAACACAACGCTACCAACTACCGGTATCTAGTTAGTAAACACGTCGCTACCAACTACCGGTATCTAGTCAGTAAACACAACGCTACCAACTACCGGTATCTAGTTAGTAAACACGTCGCTACCAACTACCGGTATCTAGTTAGTAAACACGTCGCTACCAACTACCGGTATCTAGTTAGTAAACACAACGCTACCAACTACCGGTATCTAGTTAGTAAACACAACGCTACCAACTACCGGTATCTAGTTAGTAAACACGTCGCTACCAACTACCGGTATCTAGTTAGTAAACACAACGCTACCAACTACCGGTATCTAGTTAGTAAACACGTCGCTACCAACTACCGGTATCTAGTCAGTACACACAACGCTACCAACTACCGGTATCTAGTTAGTAAACACGTCGCTACCAACTACCGGTATCTAGTTAGTAAACACGTCGCTACCAACTACCGGTATCTAGTTAGTAAACACAACGCTACCAACTACCGGTATCTAGTTAGTAAACACAACGCTACCAACTACCGGTATCTAGTTAGTAAACACGTCGCTACCAACTACCGGTATCTAGTTAGTAAACACAACGCTACCAACTACCGGTATCTAGTTAGTAAACACGTCGCTACCAACTACCGGTATCTAGTTAGTAAACACAACGCTACCAACTACCGGTATCTAGTTAGTAAACACGTCGCTACCAACTACCGGTATCTAGTTAGTAAACACGTCGCTACCAACTACCGGTATCTAGTCAGTAAACACGTCGCTACCAACTACCGGTATCTAGTTAGTAAACACGTCGCTACCAACTACCGGTATCTAGTCAGTAAACACGTCGCTACCAACTACCGGTATCTAGTTAGTAAACACGTCGCTACCAACTACCGGTATCTAGTCAGTAAACACGTCGCTACCAACTACCGGTATCTAGTTAGTAAACACGTCGCTACCAACTACCGGTATCTAGTCAGTAAACACGTCGCTACCAACTACCGGTATCTAGTTAGTAAACACGTCGCTACCAACTACCGGTATCTAGTCAGTAAACACGTCGCTACCAACTACCGGTATCTAGTCAGTAAACACGTCGCTACCAACTACCGGTATCTAGTCAGTAAACACGTCGCTACCAACTACCGGTATCTAGTTAGTAAACACGTCGCTACCAACTACCGGTATCTAGTCAGTAAACACAACGCTACCAACTACCGGTATCTAGTTAGTAAACACAACGCTACCAACTACCGGTATCTAGTTAGTAAACACGTCGCTACCAACTACCGGTATCTAGTCAGTAAACACAACGCTACCAACTACCGGTATCTAGTTAGTAAACACGTCGCTACCAACTACCGGTATCTAGTTAGTAAACACAACGCTACCAACTACCGGTATCTAGTTAGTAAACACAACGCTACCAACTACCGGTATCTAGTCAGTAAACACAACGCTACCAACTACCGGTATCTAGTTAGTAAACACAACGCTACCAACTACCGGTATCTAGTTAGTAAACACAACGCTACCAACTACCGGTATCTAGTTAGTAAACACGTCGCTACCAACTACCGGTATCTAGTCAGTAAACACGTCGCTACCAACTACCGGTATCTAGTTAGTAAACACAACGCTACCAACTACCGGTATCTAGTCAGTAAACACAACGCTACCAACTACCGGTATCTAGTTAGTAAACACAACGCTACCAACTACCGGTATCTAGTCAGTAAACACAACGCTACCAACTACCGGTATCTAGTTAGTAAACACAACGCTACCAACTACCGGTATCTAGTCAGTAAACACAACGCTACCAACTACCGGTATCAAGTTAGCAAACATCTAGCAGCTGTCATCTAACATCTAACGTGCAAACAACATCTAGTTTGCACCAACATCTAAAAATGCAAACACGACACTCTCGGCGACCGATCTCTAGCGAGTTAAAACATTCGTTCAGAGGGTTTGTTTTTTCGAAAAATATTTATTGTGTTGTGTATTATTACACTTCGTGTACTTGTCACTCGCCGTGAGGGCTGAAATGAGAACTATTTTCCCTTCGTGTTGAGTTACAGTTTGATTTATATACGATGATGTGGTCACCTAAGATGTTCTCAGTAGCATTCCCTTAATCTAGAACGTCCACACGTAATCACGAAACGCAGTTATCTCAAAAGTTTATATATAACCTCTCCGTTTCCCCTATTCATACGTTGACCGGCGGCTAGATGTTTATAATGGGGATAAGAAGCCGATGGTCTTGGGAGCATACCCCTATTCTCTAATATGATATATATATTTGATTCAGATGTTTATCTTTGAATGTAACACCATCACAGCTGCCTCCCTCCTCACCACGACACCATCCCCTACCATTAATCATTTCAAACTCGCTCCCCCTCCTCTTCCTGTGGCACAATCATCCTCTCCTCTCAAACTTATTCTCGACAACTCCTGGCTCTGTCCCGTTTGTATACTCGTTTCACATTCCCATCTTTTCGCCACATTCGAAGGCAATAGTTCAACACAAGACTCTATCTTGGCACCCCGCACACAAGCTCCATATTGGCGTGTCACCTTCACACACACACACACACACACACACACACACACACACACACACACACACACACACACACACACACACACACACACACACACACACACACACATACACACACACACACACACATACACCTTTCCTTGACATCGCGCACAACACAGTGCGCTCCTACACCACCCGACGCCTGGGCATCCCACCTCCGAACCTCTTCACCTAACTAACTCCAGCCTGGACTCTCCCCCCACAGCTTGCGGTGACTGGCAGCACGAGTGTCTGTGTGGCTTTCCCCGGTGTATCGACGCCTCGCTCGTCGGTGATGGTAACCTCGACTGTCCTGAAGGATCCGACGAACGTAAGAACATGGTGGCTCTCTTCTCCTACTCATTCTCGCCTTCTCATTATCCCTCCCTTTTTTCCTATTCATTTTCTCTTTCTTCTAAATATCTTTTACTTCCCATACTCATTCTCTCTTCTAATTAGCTCCCCTTTTTCCTCTTTATCTATTAGTGAGAGTTTATGATTATCTTGGTGTTTTTATCTCTGTGAATTACATTGCTTGCAAACGTTTTAATTAATTAATTAAAAGTTACGTTTAGTTATTTCTATGAAATAAGTATAGTATAAAACGAATACTTATTAGGTAATGGCAGTGTTGCGTTTTCATTTTGTATGTATGATTATATGTAACATTTTTGTATCAATATTGCATTCAGCGATGCTTTGTATAATTTTATCTTTCCTGGATTATATTATATAATCAATAATGCTTTCAATATTATTTACAATACTTCTAGGGCTACTACCAAGCTCATTATTATTATTATTGCTGATACTACTTCTGCCTCTAAAACCCACTTCTACTACTACTTCTATTGCTGTTTCTATGACTACTAAATTTGCTGTTCTGCGCACTATTAGACATTTAAAAAATACAGGAAACATTAGGTTTTTATCAGTGCTAATTCTTGAATTACCTAAATAAATACCCTAAATTAATTTAAGTATAGTGGACATGTTGGATATAGACTCAAGGAGTGCTGTGGGCATTTTAATAGAGGCATATCATTTTATGTGATGCATATTATTTCAGTCTACGACTGTATCCAAATAGCGCAAAATCCCATAGGCCTTTGTCCAAATAGCACAGAACTTTATGTTACTGTATAGAATGCAACAACAATTCACGGGTTGTTGCAGGTATGAAGGGTTGTGAAAGTTCATTTGTTAATCACACACAGAGATCACACTAACGTGATGCATCAAATGAACAAATCCACAAGGGCCGTGACGAGGATTCGAACCTGCGTCCGGGAGCATCCCAGGCAGGCAGTGGTTAAGGCAGTGTCTGGGATGCTCCCGGACGCAGGTTCGAATCCTCGTCACGGCCCTTGTGGATTTGTTCATTTGTTGATGATTAAGAAGAACATTCTTGCAAAGCCACTAAGAGGCATAGCCATTGGGGCAGGTCCTAAAGACTAAACACAGAATTTGCAATAAATTTAAGAGTAGATAAAACTGTAAATTTTGAATACACGTTGTAATATAATGATAGCTGAATAATAACAGAATTTGAATTCACATAATTACTGTATCAGTATAAAGTGTTGACAAAAATTATATTGATGTTAGATTTCTGAATAGTAAAATATTAGGTGAGTTAGCAGCACTAGGTGGGACACTAAGATGATGAAATTAGTTACTTTATTGTTCTATTTTTGAATAAAGTATAAGTTGAACAGGTTTTTACCTCATCAGGAAAGAAGTCTGCCATTGTCTGCTTTCCAAAGTTGCGCAGAACACTGTTTCTTCTACTGTTATTTCCAACACCATTAGTTAGCATTAATCTTCTGATGTGTCTGTTTGTGCAGTGAGCATCGACAAGAGCACCTACATCTGTCCGTCAGAGGTGATACAAACCTTGGAGCCTCGGAGACGTCGTCGACACACTGCTGGTGAGATTATCCTGTTTTCTTATCTCTCATCTTCCTTTTTCTTCTCTATTTTTTCCCCTTCTCCTCTACGCTCTGTCTTTCGTATTGGCTCCGGCCTGCGTAAGGACCTTCTGTTAACATCTCGTTTACATTCTGCTCTTGTAAGATAAGAACTGTTTGTTTTATTTTTGTTTTTACGTGTTTTATGTTCTCATAATAAGTTATTCATAATTTGTTTTTGCTTATGATATTTAAATATTTCAATGGATCTCTTTAACGTTACAGCCCCGTCATTTTAATAATCGTGATCAAAATCTTGGTCTAATAATTCCTGAAATTAGTATGGTTCTACCTATCTATCTAGTTTTCTTTCACCGTAGTTTACTATATCAAAGAAAACTGTCCATTAAATATAGTTGCAAACAAGATGGTAACTTTTATCTTTTTATTTTCTTCGAATAATTATTACTTTGTAACTACGAATATCATATCTTGTAAGTCGAACTTGCTCCTTAAATTATTACGACCTTCTGAACTTACAGTTACTGTCAAATATATTATTTTCAAAGATGGTTCCCTGTTAGTGAATCACTCCTCTTGTGAGATCTGTTTTGCCACTTTATATTTTCATTTCCCATGATAACATAGAAAACCATTATAGTTATTTTCCATCATATGTTATTTTATGAGATATGCTTACGACATGTGTGTGTTGATGACTTACATTAAGACGGACCACAAGACATCATAATGTGACTATAAAGACGATGACAACTACACAATGCTTCGCACACTAACTGTATTTATAAATGTAAACTATCACCACAAAGAGCCAATTCTAACCATAATAAAATATATTTCAATGTTTCTCTGAGTTTGTTCCTCCCTCACTCTTAAGAACTGGCTAGTTCATACTGGCAAGATTTCACTAATTAGTTAAAAGTGATTAACTAAAATGGGTTAGAATTGACTTGTTGCGGTGGATAACCTTCCCACGCTCACCCTGTCATTTCCAGATATCTTCATATTCCATCATTTCATCCTGTCATTGTGATTGACATATTTGGCTCCGCCTGTCAAGGGGATCTCACGTACTCAAGGGTTAAACCTCTCCAGGGCAGCTTGTGTTATGAATTTCCATTTTGTACGTTTTTATTTCGTTTTAATTATTCTCCGGTTTTGATTACTTTGTCACTGTTACGGTCGGAGCCTAACTCGGCCCGTGACGATACTTGCACTCTGGGGGGGGGAGGGGTCTATGTTGTGTCATGAGCCTTGTGCGGCGGATCCACGTCAGTGCATCCGTCGCTGGTCTTGTCACCCACTTGATATCTCCAGCCCATTTCCGCCTACCATTTCTGTCACGTTCACCCATTTTCAACCTACTTGCCATCATCCACCCCCTACGATCATTCATCCCACGTTCACCTCCCACCCTGCATGCCCATCCACCCACCACCTCTCATGTTCACTAACAACTATTCACACCCTCACCAATCCATCAACCCCATCCCTCACGTTTACCCGCTACCAACCTCATCATACTGACGGTGACTGGCGACCTGCAGAAGGAGTGCGAAGTGAAGTGCGGGACGCAGTCGCGACGGAGGTGTCCCCAGGTCGTGTGGAGGCTGACCGTCCCCTTGGCCTGCTGACCTCCACAGTGGGTACCTTCGTTAATGACGGCACCACCTCCGAGTACGCCACATTGGTATACGGCACCAGCTTACACGGACACTACACGTCGCTGACCACAACTTCCTCGCGGGTGTTCTTTGCTTTGCCAACCCGCGTCCACAGCAGACATCTAGATAATTCGACGTCCTCTGAGTTGCGGACGAGCGTCGTCGACGATACCACAACTATCTACACTACACGCTTTTTGCACACAAACATTGACGGGACCAACGCCAAGCTTATTGAGACTGTGACGGACGTTCATTCTGATCTTTCCAAATCCCCCACAGCTCCCTTCAGCATTCCTGTCCAGGGAACCTTCACAGAAGTCTCAGGAGGCCAGGAGGCTCACCTAAAGGTCAGTCTGGTCGATGGCTCCTCGAATTCCAGACCCGTAGCAGACGAAGTTGTGACGCTGACGGGCACACAGGGTCAGTTCATCAAGGATGGTCCTTCTCAGGCCACCACTTACAATGTCTTCACTGGGTCCTACTCAAAGGACCACCGCACCTACCTCTTCTTCTTTGGTAATACAGCTTTACCACAGAATCCAGGGATTGCAGGACCTGCTACAGCTTCCCAGATCCATACTGAGGTTGTTCTTAAGAAAGGTGGGAACCAGTCCAAGATCTTAGTGGACATGGAGAAGGATTTGCAAATGATTGTACCATCCATACCTCGGAACATCGACTCAACAGCTGCTCCAGACATGCTTATGGGAGAGGGAATGGTTGACGGCCGCATCATGGGTGGCGTGTTCATCGAGGGGTCTGAGGGTTTTGACATGGAAGGCACTCAGAGCCAGAGTGGCGAGACAAGCATGATGACGATCACTATTGGTCGTCCTGTCGCCCACACCCGGGTCATCCAGCCGGAGTTCGTCAAGCAGCCAGAAGAGGTTACGGTTCTCAGCATGGACAACATGCTTCATGAGACGAGTGATAGTGATAATGAAATTGACGTGACTCTCCTCCGGGCGCGCAAGGCCCGCCTCACCAATCAGGATATCATCGCAGACCTCCGGACGTCTCGACCTCTGGAGGTGAACCTTCCCACGTACACCGTTGGCCAACCAAATGTTCCTCTTGAGCAAGTTGTCGCACTCAGCAAAAACATGCTGAAAAAGACGGAGAAATCGGTAGAAAGGAGTATGAGTGAAGGACATCAGGAGTCGCACCAGCGTGAGGGAAAATCCGTCACCGACATTCGGGCTAGATTCAACCTTGGTAGTGGAGGTGCAGAGTCTGACCTTCCCACCGTTACCTATGTAGGCTTCGCCGACTTCACCACGAACATCGCTGGCACCATCGTGGTGTTTACACCCCGCTCAGCAACCCCTAATAAAGTAGTGAAACCACCGGTGTCGAAGACCAAAGAACAACATTCCCAAGTGACACCAAGCCCAACCCTGCCACCAGCACCGGAGCCAACCCTACCACCTGCACCAGAGCCAACCCTGCCACTTGCACCAGCGCCAACCCTGTCACTTGCACCAGAACCAACCCTGTCACCTGCACCAGAGCCAACCACTCTAGCCCCACGTCTCGCCACCTCCAGACAGAAAGAAGCGGACGTTATCGCTGAAACTCCTTCAGAGAGCCTTACCCTTAGTACGCCGGTAAAGGAATTTAACCACAAACTAGACATGGAAACGCGGATGGTCACACAAACAGAAGGGACATTATTACTGAAAGAAAACCAAGAGGGAAATTCCGATGATGCATTGGATAATGATTTTTCCACTATCTCTACTCTAAGATTCAACACAGTCGACCAATACCCTACTGGCCTCGTATCGTCAATTGGAGGAACTATTGTTAGGCAGGGAATGACTACGCTTCTCACTACCTATGTATATGGTACATACATTCAGAACCATTATGCGCAGATAGTACAGAGTACTTCAAGCATTTTCTACCTTGTCTCTCGCTCGGCAACTCCGTCAGTACAAGTTGCTCCATCAATACATGTTTCTACACCAGTACCAGTTGCTCCTTCAGTTCAAAGTGCTGCCACGGCATTGGGTCCTGGCGTATCAGAAGCGACTACTGAATTCAACAATGTGTATGATTATGAGTACGATGGCTCCACAACAGAGAAGGATCTGACAAAGGGTGTTGAGGAGATAGTTGACAATGCATTGGGACGCTCCGTGGCCTCGAGCCCCGGCCAGCAGCTGATCGTTGACACCGACAGCGGTAAGGAAGCTAAAGGAGGAGTGCCAGCCGTGACACCTGAGCCAACGGAGAAGGAAAACCCTGCCGACTCAATCTCCGTCTTCACCTACTACACCACCTACTTCACAGGAGGAACAACCACCGTGTCTACGCGCTTCGAGACTTCAACTCTCTTCCTGCCTTTCTTCGTTACAAAAACTACTACGGAAACCTCACCCACGAAGGTCACACCTGAGCCATCGAAAACTTCAGCATCAATTTATCTCACTACCTACACATACTACACCACTCTCTTCGTCGACGGCTCTACACAGGTGTCTAGTCGTACTGAAGTGCTCACAAAGGAAGCTGGAGATAGCACCTCCAGTCTCCTCCCTTCATTCTTATCTCCCACCCCTGCAGTGACTGCCTCTCCAGTTGCTACAACAACCACAATGACTGTCACCACTACTACCACGACTACTGAAACGACTACTACTACAACGACTACTACTACAACAACTACAACAACAACAAGCCCCAAGCCTACTACAACCACTACGGAAGCTATCACCCCTGAGCCTCTGACTACCACAACAACTACTGAAGCTACCACCCCTGAGCCTCCACCTACCACAACAACTACTGAAGCTACCACACCGAAGCCTCCACCAACCACAACAACTACCGAAGCTACCACCCCTGAGCCTCCACCTACCACAACAACTACTGAAGCTACCACCCCTAAGCCTCCACCAACCACAACGACTACCGAAGCTACCACCCCTGAGCCTCCGCCTACCACGACTCCTTCCCTTAACACCACAGAAGGAACGCCAAAGGAGCACGATGACCTTACTGTGATTGAGGCCATCAGCGTGGACGACTACGAACCAACCACGGAGTCCGTGTTGGAGTCCTTCACGGAGTCCATGTCTGAGAGTATGTCCGAGTCGTCGACGGACTCCTCTGCTCAAGACGTGACGGAAGCGCCAAGAGTCGCTCTGGACTCCTCCCTCAACCCGGAGGACGAAGTGAACGCGGTCTTCTACCCTCGAACGTACTACACCACCTACACCTACTTCACCACCTTCTACCGTGCCGCCTCTTCGTCCATCGTCAGTAGCCTCGAGACCCTCACGAACGTGGTGACCGACCCGAGTGAGCAGGAGAAGCACAAGACCTTGACTCCCGTCGTGCCTACTTACCCCGTCACCTACTACACCACCTACACCTACTGGACCACTTTCTTCAGGGAGAACGCCACCATCTCCACCAGCTCCGAGAAGACTCTCTCGAATATCGTGACCCCGACCTCAATGGCCACGATCCCGACGGTGCATCCTGCCGAAGCCTTCACCCCAGTAACAGAACCTTCCTCCACTACTACAACAGCAACTCTCGTCACCTCCACCCCGGCCCTGACCACCTTCTACACCACCTACACCTATTACACCTCGACTTACGTAGGCGACCAAACCATCGTCAACAGCCGCCTTGAGACGGTCACAAACGTCGTCTCCTCTACGCTTACGCCCTCAGTGAGTACAGTATTGACCGAGGAACCTACGATTGGGACAGTGGATAAACCGTTTGGATTCGCCACCACGGAGGATGAACCATTTGGATTCGCTACCACGGAGGATAAACCATTTGGATTCGCTACCACGAAGGATCAACCATTTGGATTCGCCACCACGGAGGATGAGCCATTTGGATTCGCCACCACTGAGGATGTACCATTTGGATTCACTACCACTAACAATAAGCTATTTGGATTCGCTACCACCGAGAATGAACCATTTGGATTCACTGCCACTAAAGATAAACCATTTGGATTCACTACCACTAAGGAAAAACCATTTGTATTTGCGACCACAGAGGATCGTACATTTGGATTCACCACCAATGAGAATGAACCATTTGGATTCGAAACCACTGAGGATGAACTATTTGGATTTACTAACACTAAGGATAAACCATTTAGATTTGAGACCACAGAGGATCGTACATTTGGATTCACCACCACTGATAGTAAACCATTTAGATTCACCTCAGCTGGAATTAAACCGTTTGGATTCACCACCACTGACGTCACTACATTTGGATTCACAACAACTGACGTTAATCCATTTGGATTCACAACAACTGACGTTAATCCATTTGGATTCACAACCACTGAAGTTAATTCATTTGGATTCACAACCACTGAAGCTAATCCATTTGGATTCACAACCACTGAAGCTAATCCATTTGGATTCACAACCACTGAAGCTAATCCATTTGGGTTCACAACCTCTGATGTTAAACCATTTGGATTCACCACCACTGATGTTAAACCATTTGGATTCACCACCACTGATGTTAAACCATTTGGATTCACCACTACTGATACACCATTCGGATTCACCACCACTGAGGAAAATATGTTTGAACTCACCCCTACTGAGGATGATTCTTTTGGACTCAACACCACTGAGAATATACCTTTTGGATTCACCACTGCAAATAATAATGTATTTGGATTCACAACAGACGTCCCCGACGAGTCCGAGCCTGACGTGATGGCTAAAACTAAGTCAACTGGCCTTCTCTCCACCATACGAGGCAGCACTGTTGTCGACGGCACAACCACAGTCTTCTCGACAAACATCATTGGTACTGTTGTCGACGGTCTGTATGCCCAGATTCAGTCAACCACCAGCTTCATCGTCCTTCCGTCGGAGGAGGAAGAGGCACCAGGATTCTTCTTGGCGTCGCCCACTAAAGAGACTTCCCCTAGCCTGCCGTTCTTCTTCCTCCCCACAGCCAGCGAGGACGTTGAGCCGTCACCGGCAACTCTCGCGCCCATCTTCCCTCTGGCTACGAAGGTGAGCGAAGATGATGTTCCGGTCACGCAGCCGGCTCTGTTTGTAACACCAGTACTCGACTCCTCTCTGGTTGATCTCACAGCTGACACGCCGGCTGTGGATACTGCCACTGAAGCTCTACCGGAAGATGACACTACTGAAGAACCGGAAAAGGATGTCGGTCCCTTGCTTGGTAAAACGAAGACTAAAGGCAATTTCCCATCAACCAGCCGCAATCAATTTCCTCTGCGTATTCCAGGTTCTCGTAGCAGACGTCCAGATATATTGCCCTTCTTGAGGCGCACGTCCGTCCGTCCGCGCCCGGCAACCATCACCAGGGATGGTGTGACACCCACAGTGACAGCGACTCCTGCAAGTACCTTAGAGGAGGAAGATAAGCTTACAACTAGTACCCGTCCATTCCGGTTTGGTTTCGTGGATTCCACAACTGCCCGCACATCCGCAGCTCCATCCTCTGTCCGCTTCCGCTTTCAGTCCCCAGGATCAGTAATACCCACTGGATCCTCTCGTCCCGGATTCTTTGGCTCGGCAAGTATTAGACACAGTTCCCCTGGGTTCCGATTTGGTTCAACCGGTGTAAGTCACTTTGGTGGCTTGAGCAGCCCGGGAAGCTTCAGACAAGGTGGTTCTCGCTCTTCTGTCTTTCCAGGAGCTAGCAAAGTTATCTCGCCCTCCTCAGTGCTGCACAAGGTGAAAACTACGGTTGCTCCTGAGTCTGACCTCACGTTCTTTGATGAAGAAGACGAATCCGATTTCTTCACGCCTTCTTCCAACAACCCTCAGGCAGGGTTCCGCCAGTTCAGTTTTCGACCGAGACAGCCGGTAGACACACCAGGTACAAGGTCGACGATTCCTTTCGCCCTGCTTAACCGTCGCCCAGGAAGCACAACGCCGCAGAGAGAACCACCAACTGCAAGTAGATTCTCTCCAGCTCCAAAGTCATTGGATGAGATAGACCATTTTGAGGAAGAAGAACCATTTATAAATCCAACAACTCCAGCTCCCTCGGCCGGCTTCCGCATCAACCGAGTGAACCTAGAAGAGCGTAGACGCAGCCATTTCCGACAAAGCAGGCCAGACTTGTCCAAATTATTCCCTCGCAGAAATTCGGCGAAATCTGATCTTGACAACGAAGCCACAAAGGTTGCTCCAGTGTTTGTTGAAGCCGATGGCAGATTCCTCACGCCAGAAGAACTGGAGGAAATACTAGCGGATGAGGTTGTGCCAGAAGAGACATTAATCAGAAAGAAACGTCAGGTAAGCGAATTTGGAATGCGCACTTCATCTAGAGGAACAGCCAGACGTGCAGCAGCTACTAGAGGAAGCAGTCGCTCAAGAGACTCATTACCCTTACCACCTCGTTCAACAGCTTCCGCACCAAGAATTACAAATGGAAAGCCTCGTTCTCCAGCTCCAAATGGAAAGCCTCGCGTCACAGCTCCAACACCAACACGAAAGGAAGGTGGATCACAGTTCACTCTGACTAATGCACGATCAAGGGGTCGCGTAGCAGCCCCAGAACCGGTGGAAAAGCCTGCTGAGGAGTCGAAACCTGAGCCAGCAAAACCTGCAAGACCCTCAAGAAGTCGCACGTCACTACCAACTAGACCTCGTGCCTCTAGGACTCGTGCGACTGTTCCTTTAGGCAACATACGTGGTCGAGGATTTAGAAGACCCTCAACAGATAACAATGTACGTACCTCTAGTAAGTTCACGCCTCCAAGACAATCAAGTTCTCCAATTAGAAGGCCACCGTCAACAATGAATTCAAGAAATGGTGATAACCGTGTTCGAAGGCCTGCCGCAAATCGTAAACCTCCTGCTGAAAGCCGCAAACCTCCTGCCACAAATCCTATTATGGAGTTCAGAAACAGACCTTCACCCCCTATTACAACAGAGGCTCCAGCCATCTTCCCAAGCGAAGACGGAGGCTTTTTAATTCAGGATGAACTTACAGTCACGCGGGAGACACCTGTAAAGGCGACGATCCCCCTGGTGGAAGATGGTGTGACGGTACAAAAAGAGGTCATTACAGCTTCCTTGCAAACGGAAATTGTCCAGCCAGACCAAATAACTCAGACTGAGATCGATGGTGCTATTAAGCTGCTACTCAGCACAGTTGATGGCGGCAACGAAATTACCCACTATGTGGTGGACCCAGTAGAGACTACCTCAGTTACTTTCACGCCCACCTTTATCGGCGGCCGTCGCACCTCTGCGTCCGTCGTCCTTCCCTCTACTGCCTACAATGTTGTCACCATTGTTAAACCAAAACAAGGAGGAGACATACAACAGTTGCTACAGTTGCTTCTGGCCCAGCAACAGCAACCACCACAGAATCCCCTTCTAGCAGCCTTGGGTCTTGGTCAGCCGGTAACCAGTGAAGTGGTGCACACTCGCTCCTATGTCACTACTGTCACCAACGTCGTATCTACGGCCATCCCCATCATCTTTCGCGGAAAAACCATCCAGACCACGATTGTTGAGTCTGAAGTGGAAGTCGTGACGGCAACAGAACTAACCACAGAGACTGTCATAGCCCATGCTTCACCTGGGGCTCTAACTAATGCCAACCCTTTGAATCAGCTTTTGCCGCTCCTTCTTCAAGGACAGCTTCAGCAGCAAACCCCTCAAATCAGACCAACACGTGAGCCTTCCATAGACGCTTCAAAAGTTGATCCTCAGCTGTTGGACCAGCTCTTAAAACAGCAGCAAAACGGAAAGACAGTCAACCAGCGAAGGGCCAAACCCGACCCTGCACCCACGCCTTCGCCGGTAGAGACATCTGTTGTTACCTTGTATGTGTCGGGCAGGAGACCCGGAGAATTCTCCACCATTCTCTCCACCGTCACCGTTTCTGGAGATGCCACTAGAAGGAAGCGAGGTTCTCTTAACACGAAAGACGTCCAGGCCACCATTCTTCCTCAGTACATTGAGACGGACAAGGGTCTCTTTCAACTCCCTGACACTTACGGTGAAGACGACATTGACTGGTTCATTGTGTCTGCCATGAATGAGATAGATACCAATGATATTAGTAAAGTAACACCAAGTTTGGAGTCTGTCCTGGGAGATTTGGCACAGTACGCCGAACAGACCCCATTAATTCTCCACAACGGAACTCATTCATTTAATACACAGCCTTTTTTATGGGAGGGCCCCGCTGAGTCAGCCCCGCTCAAGCGGAATGTTCGGAGTGCACAACGGGGCACATCTGGCCTTCCTGCAGCTCGGAAGATCCAAGATGGAACACTAGATCAACAAATCGTTCTAAACACTGATGGCAAAGGCTTATCCAGAGATCAGTTTAGCGTTTCAGATTTGCGACTGCAGAATCGTCTCGTTTCGGAACAGGTGCACCAGCTGCAAGCTCCAACCACTTACTTCACAACATTCACCTACTACACCACATTGCTGGACGGCTCTGGGAAAGAGTTTGTTCAGAGCTCAGAGGAGACCATTACGCAGTTGGCTACACATGACAATATTCGCTTTGATGAATTAACCAGAATAGATGATGATGGACCATCTCTCTTAAATGGAGTTCCAATTCAAGCCAAGTTCACTCTGGATGATGCTATTATCCCAGGAAAACCGCGCCCAGTGCCTGATCCGGTGTTCACAGAGCCACCGCCACCATTCGGGCCAATCGTTCGTCATTTTGTCCCAGGGGAGCCCACTGATCCAGATGACTTTGTAGATTCACTCGTTAACGACGATCCTCACACACAGCAAGGTACACAACTCTCAGGGAGCGTAGTTCCCGCACCAGGGCGTGAACACCTCAACCCACAACTAGTCATTCATCCAGAGTTAGAAGAATCATCACTCAGAGACACAAATACTGGTTCCCGGCAGAAGCCCCGCCTTGTTGTCCTGACCCGAAAACGGCCAGTGCAGCACTCGGTGGCAGACGACCGTGTCAGAGCTGTTATCATGCGGCGCCGTCCTGTGAACCAGATAAGTAGTGATGAACCTGATTTGACACAGCATCTTGATGAACAGCCTCTTACACCTACCAGTACACTTACACAAACCACACCATTACTCCCCGTGATTCCAGTGCCCGAAATTCAGGACAATATTCAGGCTGAAAATGTCCAGGACTTTGTAGATTTCAAAAAATTAGATAGTCTACCCACCGAGGCGACGCATGAAATAATGGAAACAGAGGAACAGGACCTGGTTGACGGGGCGGTGGACGGCAGTCCAGGAAGCAATCATCGAGTCCGTGTCACTGTTACCAGCCGGCGGCGGGTGCAGCTGACCAGCACTGTTGAAGAGGACAAGACCATGACACTTCCTGGTGGTGGTCGACGTGTGGTTGTGACCCGTCTCCTTCCTCAACCCACTGTGGTTGCCAGCCCTCTGCGTCCTCTGGTGGCTACTGTTAATACATACTACACTGTTTATTCCTACCTATATACCCTCTATGAGAATGCCACACCTTACTCAGTGTCTACAAGAGAGGTTACGGTGTCCAATAGGGTAGAACCCACTGTTATCTCCGTCTTGCCGACGTTCCAGACAGGGACAGCAGTTGGAGGCTTTTATACACTGGAAACTGGAACTAGTGTCGCCACCTTGGGAGAGCGTGTCCTTAAATCTCTTACTACACAAATTTTCCTTGCCTCTGCAACCTTGATTGAATTGACTCCTGAAGCCATAAAACAAAATGAGGAAGCCGAACAGAGGTTAGCAACCTCAGAAACTCCTGAAGCTAGTACTTCTTCAACTCCTGAAGCTAGCACTTCTTCAACTCCTGAAGCTAGCACTTCTTCAACTCGAAGACGCCCTACTTCCTCAGTGACTCTCCAGTCCTCTCTGGTAGAAGATGATCCTATAGCACCCACAGACACTCCTTTCCTAACCACTAGCAGCTTCAGATCCACTCAGGCGAGAAGTGAAGCATCTCATCAGAGAGAAGGGGAAAGATCTACACCTATATCACTTGACGATATAACCGTTACTTCAGATGAAGGGGTTACACCCTCAAGAGCTGGTGTTAGAGACCGTGGTAGAGGTACTCTCAGATTCTCTGATCCACGAAAACGTGTTCGAGTTACTGTCACCAAGCGACGTCCTGTTACCCCTGTTTCTCAGGATCCATCAGATGCACTTATCGCAGACACTTCCGAAGATGAAATTCCGTCTGAAACTCCTGAACTGGCCCGGGAGCTTCCAGCCCTCGATGATACACCTACAGAGCCTGAAGTTGTGGATACAGAGGTAACTTCAGAACCCCCAAGTCATCAAGAAAAACCATCCACATCACCACCATTCCGATTCTCTCATATAGGACCCAGAAAACGTCCAGATACTCCACCTTCGCGATCACCTCAGGACAGATTCACCCCTCATCCTCTTCCGGATGAAGACAGGTCCACTCCACGACCTCCTCCAGGTGAAGGAAGGTTTACACCACGACCTGATCCGGGCGAAGAAAAGTTTGCCCCTAGACCGTCTCCTGATGAAGATAAGTTTGCATCACGACCTCCTCCAGTCGAGGAAAGGTTTACACCTAGACCAGTTTCAGGTGAGGGTAAGTTCACACCACGACCAGATGAAGAGATATTCATTCCAAGGCCAATACCAGGCGAAAAAGCATCACCAGAAGAGCCTGTACTTGAAGACGTTCACGAAGAACCTGGGACCGAAGCACCTAGACCCACACCAACGCCTACCCGTCCAACTCGACCTCCTCGAACGTCACTTCGCAGAGACGACATCCCCATTATTCGAAGGCCAGGATTCGAGCGTACATCGCGTCCGTTCGTATCGCAGCAGGATTTGAAGAAGACTTCAACTACAGATGAGCACCGCCTTAGGTTCACACCAGCACCAGAACCAGAGGTCAAAGCTGAAGTTTCCGAAGCCCCATCTGTCGACCCAACCAAGGAACCCGAAACCACTGATGGAGAATATGGCTATGATTATTATGATGACTATTATTATGATGAATATCCAGAGACATCAACGACTGATGGACCTGTGGAAGAGGAGGCGCACCTTCCTGAAGCAGTTCAGGATCAACATCTGCCGCCTCTTATTGAAGAAGATCCAGTTACTGAGGCTTCTCCGCCTGTTCTGAAACTGAAACCAAAGTTTGTGAGGCCGTCGCACTTCGATGTCAAGACAACTGCTTTTGACGTTACTGATGCTCTGAAGCGAGAACGAACCCACACTAAATTCGTTCCGTCGACTCGAACGCGCACCACAGCCAGCCGACAGCATCTGCCAACCCAGAGTGAAGAACCCATTACCGCTTCTAATGTCGTATTCAGCACTTACACCACCACCACACTTCTGCCCATCTTGGGTGGTGAACGGTCGATCACTCTAACTATCCTTACCTCTACCCTCACCACCCTGGCCGAGGACCAGCTCCACCTCATCACTGACTCTCCTGAACTGTTCGATCCGTCTCTGGCCACGGCGACAGCCACGACTACCCTTTCCGCTCCTCCGCCCTCTCTCGCACCTTCTTCCCCTGTGGTGGATGACACCCAGGCAACCTCGGTGACCGACACGCTATCTGAGGAAGCCGAGGTCACCTCTCCCGCCCACATTGATACTGGCTCCAGTCTGCCACTCCCGGAGACCTCTAAGGGTAAGTTGTATCTCCTCCACTTTTACGGGGTCTTTAGGTTCTCTTATAAATGTAGTTCTCGTGAGAGTTCTCTTCTCTTAGCTCTAAACATGCCCTTATAATTATTAGAGTTTCTTTCTCAATCTTGACCTAGTTGTCAGCTTAATATTACATGCAGCCAACTTGGCTGTAATTTAAAGTATGGAAAACTATTTAGCTTTCATGTACGCCAGATAAGTCATGTTTCTAGCTAAGAATTATAAATAACGAAGTACTGAGCCTCTTGTGGGGTTTGTCTGTCCAGAACTGCTGCATGAATCTTCATTAACTTGGGTGCAGCCTTTACACTCCCTGTAGTGTGTGTGTGTGTGTGTGTGTGTGTGTGTGTGTGTGTGTGTGTGTGTGTGTGTGTGTGTGTGTGTGTGTGTGTGTGTGTGTGGGGGGAGTGGTGAAATACATCCCTAGTCTCTGGATACCTGTTGCCCGTCCGCTACCTCCCTCCACCCCTGCTTCTCCTCCACTGTATTTGTTCTTCAAAAAAGTCGGGATCACCTGAAGTTACAGATATTTACATAACAAACCAAACATTAAATACATTATCCGACGAGTGTTTTTACCAAACACTCGTTGGATTCTTGAGTGTGTGATAAAAAAAAACTACCACATAAAAGTTAGAATTATTACTCAATCGATTCGTGCAAGATTTTTTCCCAGATGAAAATACTCCAAATTCCGTAACTAAAGATGCTCTTGGTAACTGTTAACACCGCCAGCAAACACCCATGCTCGCTGCCCTTCACTGTCCTATACCACACTAACACCCTCCGTGTAGGTTGGAACTTATTGCTAACTGTCTGTAGTGTTTGTGAGATGAGAGTGAGAGAGTTGCATATGGTAATGTTATCCCCAGTAAAAACTTTTTTTATATATAATGCTAACTATTTGTCTTTGGTCGACTGACATCCGTATGCAGTACAACTTGGCATTTTAAATTAAACACTTAACATGTGGATTAATTGTTTATATCTTCTATGTGCATGTTGGAGTATCTACTAATTTATTTAATGTCAAATAAGCTTGACTTCCAGATCAGCTGAAGTAGAACGAACCCGAGGTAAGTACAGCCATATAAAGTAAGGGTGCTCTGGGTGATTATATTAGAGTATGTCCTATGGGGATGTTAGAGTGAATCAGTCCAGTTTTACGGCGAAATCTGTTAATTTAAACCATGAGTTAGTTACGTAGTCCTGGGGTGTTGCGTCAGAGTAAGCAATTACAGTCAGTATCCCTGAGGTTGCCTTAGGGTTGTCTTAGATTGTACAGTCAGTATCCTTGGAGGGGGTGGTGGTTGTGTCAAGGTACTCTAATGCAGTCAGTCTCCGAGTGGTTGTGTCAGTATAGGCGTGAGAGTGTAAACCAACAGAACAAGTGCCCTTGACATGGAAGAACTTGAGGGGCACTCTCGTGCTTGCTCTCTCTCAGTGTCACACCATGGATACTTAATCTTAAATAATTGCAAGATATATATCTGACTCAGACTAATCCGCCTACTCGTATCTCTTTCCCTCCAGCATTCGGGTTCATACGCAGCTCACCCAGCGTCTTCCCAGGTACGTGAGTCACTCTGTGTGTCAGGGAGTGCAGGAAAGAGGGTACTGAGAGAAGGGCAGGAGAGAGGTTATTGAGGGAGGGCAGGAGAGAGGTTACTGATGGAGGGCAGGAGAGAGGGTGCTGAGGGAAAGGCAAGCGAAAGGGTACTGAGGGCAGGAAAGAGGGTACTGAGGGAGGGCAGAAAAGACGGTATTGAGAGAGAGCAGGAAAAGAGAGTACTGATGGAGAGCAGGAAAAGAGAGTACTGATGGAGAGCAGGAAAAGAGAGTACCGATGGAGAGCAGGAGAGAGGGTACTGAGGGAGAGCAGGAGAGAGGGTACTGAGGGAGAGCAGGAGAGAGGGGTACCGAAGGAGGGCAGGAGAGAGAGGGTGCAGGCAGGCATCCCCTTAAGTGCCGTCGGCATGATTCGTGACAACTAACTGTTCATCGAGTTATCATATTTACACTCGTTAATCCTGGGAGTGAAAGACACATAACATCCTATAGTATCTCCTATATTCTCACGAGGCATAATCAAGCCTTGTTTCATACAGTTTACCATAGAGCAGCGAAACTATAAACAAGGGATAACTATATTATTATCCACTATTATTTTTTTTTGTTTGATAATGTTTGATTTCTCTCTTTTCTTATTGTCAAGAGTTCGACTATGTGGTTCGTTGCTCTGCTTGTTATGTTATTGATGAGCAAATAACGATATATCGAGATTTGTGGTTCACTCACGGGATTAGCGAAGCTCATGTTTCTGGTGTTGATGTATAGACTGTACCTGGTTAATACAAGCTTTAAGAGAGAGACTATATAGCCAGCATAGTTAAATCACATAAAACCACGTGCATATATCATGTTGATCGAGTGGGATCTGGAAAAGCTATCGCTGTTCATATTTTCCCATTTTCCTTTACCTCCCCCTCCCCCCCTTTCCTGCGCCCTCTCCGTTTTCTTTACTGAAGCTGTTTTTCTAAACATCTTGCAGTGTATGCTTCGTAACACACACTTACTTTGCTGATTTTTACCTAATGACCTTTTCCTCTCCCACTTGAAGAGTATAACTTGTCGGGTTGTGTTTGACACTAGCTCGAGTCTCTTGATGTGCTGAAAGGCACTCGATAAATGTAATTTTAATCTTCACAACCCCGCAAGTTCTAAGCTGGCATCACTTAGAGAGGGGCTCACTTTCACTAGTTGTCTCCCCTCGGCCATGAGCGTCACTCATTGCCGTAAATTTTGTAGGACTAAAGATGTCATTCCTGTAGCCACTATAACGGCACTTTGGACCCATTTAAGAACAACTAACTCCTGCGGCTGGGCACAAAGCGAGTCCCGTGTATAATAACCCAGTGTGATGCCGGCTTAAAGCTGGGTACGGCGGAATGCATAGCAAGTCCTTCTCGGTCATACAGGGTCAGAACACGGGTCGGGTCGGGCAGTGGTTGGACCTTCCGGCTCTAACGTGGTGGAAGGGGCGCTAGAGCCGAGCCCAGGGGAGCAGCGCCTAGGGGCTCGCTTCAGCATCGGCGCCCGTCACAATCTGGCCACCAAGGTCATGAGTAACGGCGTCGAGGTCATTGTCGCCGGTAAGTGCATGTGCCAGGTCGATCTAGGTCACGCAGCGCGAGATTACAGGGCAAAGCCTACATAGGTCCTCTCTGGATGTGATCGAAACTAGCTTAGGTCGCCGCGCGAGGTCAAGGGTTAACCCAGGACGACGCCCGAAGTCATGGCTAACCAAGGACATTGCGCGAGATCATCGCTAACCCAGGGCATTGTGTGAGGTCATGGTTAACCCAGGGCATTGTGTCAGGTCATGGCTAATCAAAGATATCATGTGAGGTCAAGGTTAACGCAGTACATCACTTGAGGCGAGGCTAACCCAGAACACCATGCGAAGTCCAGACTAACCCAGGACATCATGTGAGGTCATGGTAAACTTAATTTTCAGAGGCCAAGCTAGGCCAAGTTATCACGAGGCTGTTGATGACCTAGATCTCCGCGTGAGGTCAAGGCTAACCTAGACAACAAAACGAGGCCAAAGTTAACCTTGGTGTCGTGTGAAATAGAGGCTAACATAGGTCGCCGCAATTGGTCAAGGCTAACCTTGGCCATACAAGCGAGGTCATATCAAGTTTCTTTTGCATAGATACCAGTAGGAAGGCGGGACATCCACACTCTAGCAGAAAGATATACCTAGAATCAAAACAGTATCTTGTTGATACGCCAACTTTAATTTGGGTATTTTGATGTTAAAATCAGGAAGTCCCGCGCTCTGAAGAGTAGAAGTATTCATAGAAAATGTATGATAGTACATGGGTAACTAAAAGTAGCGCTTTACTCCTTCTCGGTGATCCTAGTGTAATTATTCTTCTCTCTCTCCCTCGCACCCTGGCCGTCCTGAAGCACCCTTCCTCTCTCCCCTCACTAGCACCACTCTGGCAACACCAGCATATACACACCTATATTTACTCATTCACAAATTATCAGTATCACAACTGGAGTTCCACGGCTTCTAAGCCGTCATCACTAGTTAGTGTAGTATGTTATCAGGTAATGTTCTGTATATAAGCTTTCCTGTAGCGTATTGATCTTGTGATTCACACAGTATATGATGGGCCGCCTAGACAGAGCCTAGCTATATAAGGGAACAATTAGATTTATGAGGAAAAAATATATCTTGAGAATAAAAATATATTCCTCATAGATTTATGAGGGAAAAATATATCTAAAAGCCATACATATTTAAATGTATGGCTTTTTTTAATGCTTACTATAAGCAGATGATACCATCCCAGTTTTACGATAGTATAAATTTAATATCCGGTGGTCTATGTTCTCGAACTCATTATATGGGATCCCAGGTTCAATCCCCAGTTAGAACTGAAATTTTTGGGCATGTTTCCTTTCACCTGATGCATCTGTTCACCTAGCAGTAAATCGATATCCGGCAACGGTTATGGGGGTTGCATCCTGGGAAAGGTCAGTAGTTCGTACTTAGGGGGACCTCGACATATGCCTAAAATACAGATTCCTCTCTGCTAGAGCGGGAATTATTATTGTTTCTCAAAAAAAAATCTTCCTTTTCGTGTGATATTCACATTTTTATCAATTTTCTAGGAGATAAAACCACGTCGCCGATTCCTCAGGAACATATAATTACGAACAACTTCGACAAGTTCCGACGCCCGATCACGCTGCCGCCGTCAACGTTGTCGGACCACATGATGCTCTTCGCTTCAGCGGAAACTGAACACCCGAAGGTAAGCCAAAGAAAACGTACCGATTCTTAGAACTATGGTTAACTAAGACTTTTCAGTGTTCAGCACAAATTATTGTAGATGTTATAGATGGCGGCGCATAATACTATTTGACCTTCTAGTTATAGATGGCGGCGCTATGCAGATGATTTTTATTGTATAACTTAAGTCTTTTATTGCATAGCTTCAGCCTATGATTTGCCTGAGGGCCACCATCTCTAGTGGCCTCGACGACGACATAAATCCGGCAGCTTGTCAAAGGTCTACCCACTGTCCTGATGTTTTTTCCAGCTGAATTTTAAATTGATGTATATACTTGGCATCATTGGCTTCGGCGGGTAGGTGATTCCATGGGTTTATTACCCCCATGGGTGAGGAAGCCTATCCAGTTTGCTGTCATACATTATGGCTTATTAAACGAAACTATTGTCCCTTGTGTGCGTTACAGTGCAATATTACAAGTAATATTAACATCAAATTTGTTGCGGTCCATTCTCTAAATTAAATACAGTTCGCGAATTTTATGAATGGAATGTTTTAGAATTAAGGTCACGAGGTCATATACAAAGCATAAACACTTCAACACTGCTTAACTGTTAACACTTTATGCGAGATGTAAAGTGCAAGAGTGTTGTGAGAGTCTCTAGAGCAAAGTCTCAGCGTTTAGCATGACTATTCCTGGCCTCGTTCGAGGATAGCACCCATATCAGCAAGACACAGTGCTCTCTTGTGTGTTAGTCGAGATTTGTAGGAATTTTGTATATATATATATATATATATATATATATATATATATATATATATATATATATATATATATATATATATATATATATATATATATATATATATATATATATATATATATATATATATATATATATATATATATATATATATATATATATATATATATATATATATATAACTGAAAACTCACACCCCAGAAGTGACTCGAACCCATACTCCCAGGAGCCACGCAACTGGTATGTACAAGACGCCTTAATCCACTTGACCATCACGACCGGACATAATGAGGTGATAGCCGAGGCTATTTGAACCACCCCACCGCCGGCACTCGGATAGTAATCTTGGGCATAGCATTTTACCAAATCACCTCATTCTTTGGGGCACACGTGAGTATGCCCAAGATTACTATCCGAGTGCCGGCGGTGGGGTGGTTCAAATAGCCTCGGCTATCACCTCATTATGTCCGGTCGTGATGGTCAAGTGGATTAAGGCGTCTTGTACATACCAGTTGCGTGGCTCCTGGGAGTATGGGTTCGAGTCACTTCTGGGGTGTGAGTTTTCAGTTGCATATTGTCCTGGGGACCATTCAGGCTTGTTCGCATTTGTGTTCCTCACGTGTGCCCCAAAGAATGAGGTGATTTGGTAAAATGCTATGCCCAAGATTACTATCCGAGTGCCGGCGGTGGGGTGGTTCAAATAGCCTCGGCTATCACCTCATTATGTCCGGTCGTGATGGTCAAGTGGATTAAGGCGTCTTGTACATACCAGTTGCGTGGCTCCTGGGAGTATGGGTTCGAGTCACTTCTGGGGTGTGAGTTTTCAGTTGCATATTGTCCTGGGGACCATTCAGGCTTGTTCGCATATATATATATATATATATATATATATATATATATATATATATATATATATATATATATATATATATATATATATATATATATATATTCATATATATTCTGTACAGTATATACCAATAAATAGCTATACTCAGTCGGATTATTTACCTGCAAACTAAAAATACTAACACCTCTGAACTACATGTACCATACATATCTTCTCTTCATGCTGCTCTATATTTCAAAATTCTTAATTATCTCTATCGTTTACAATTGTCTCTTGTATACAATTGTTTATTTCTCTGAGTTCCAATATTATAAGTATTTTGGTTTGTTGATGGCCATAAGTCCCATCAACCTCTGGAGGGTTATTAAGATCACCACAGTAGGTTTCCGACCAACCAGTAAGTATACTTAGTCCTGAGCATAGTCCACGACTAAAGTTTATATACATAAGGAAATAGGCTTCACCTCTCCTTGTATATTTCCTCTACTTGTGAGTGTTTTCTCTCTTCTCTAATATATTTTTCTCCCTCGATTCAATACTTCATTTTTGTTTCACACTGATACGCCAGTATAATTATGTTTGACTTCCCGTATTTCTAAACACTTAAATCAATTTAGTAATCAGTGCTTTATCACGTATTCTTTCCCCTTGTGTAAATTTTTTTCTTTTGCTTTAGGCATTATGTATTTCAAATAAACGTCAAGTCCATACACACTAGGAATGAAAATCATTTGACACTGTCGTTCTAAGTTGCTGTTGAAAGCTATTGTCTTAACCTATTCTTTTTAATATTTAGTAATCTAGCCTAATTCTTCATATTTTGTCCTCTTTTCCGAGCCTCAGCCTTTATAGCATGATTCACCCTTACTAACCAAAAACTAACAGGTTTTAGATTGGCGACCTACAGCCGGGGCTATGCGACCACCTGCTCATTCTGCCGCTGAACTCAGGTTACAGCCGACCTCACAGCCAACTACACTGCCTACCACACGGCCTACCACACGGCCTACCACACGACCCACAGCGATCTCTCGGATTCCCCCCTTGTCCCTTGCTCGCTCCTTCAAGGAGCAGGATCCTCCTGACCCCAGCGACCATGAAAAGACTGTAATCCTGGAAATCGTGCCAGATATGATTGACTTCGGGACTGACTTCGCTTCCCCGATGAACCTTCTGGGGTCGGTTCTGGCCGTAGCAGATCTGATAACTAACAAGGGCATGGTAAAGCCGCCCCTGGTACACCCTGACTTACTCCCTGACCCAGTTTACATCAGACTGGAACCTGTTACGGTACACTTCGACCCCGAGGTCCCTTCAAGCTATACCTATGTGACGACTGTGACCTATATTAGCCAGATGCCCGGGTCAGGTGACATGACTCGCATGGAGGTTCTGACCAGTGTTGTGACCCATGACAGCCGCTTCTTGACCTCCACCATTCCCCCGAGTGTCACGGCCAAGGTAAAATCCCTCAACTTCCCACTACCCAAAAATACCGCTTCACCTCCGTCTGCTACGTAACCCACACTTGTAGTAACCCATGTCCGTAGTGCTTCCGAAACCCAGCCACAAGCTTGGTGTTATACATCCCTGTGGCTTCCTTGACATAACTGACTGCTTGCATAGCTGCTGCAACTCCTCGTGACATTCGTCACTCTCCCGGTTCCTCAAGGTGTTGCCTGGCAACGCCAAGAGTGACATCAATCCTCTGGCATCACGTGCACCCTAAAAGATTAAAAGATAATTTTCCATTAATGCGCACCTTTCCTTTTTCTTCCCGCTGCATGATGCCTACATAGAGTAACCTCTTTTTACCGAGGTTCTCTTATACATAGCAGATGTCACAGATGATCTGCTGCGATGTTTTAGTTATATGTATTCCTTGCACATCGGAATGAACAGGTTGGGAAGCAGAGTCTGTGCAGGAGCCCCGCTGCTTACACACTTCCTTTTGTTGTAGAGTGCATGTGTACACAGTAGAAGCCTTCATGCCTTTCAAATACAGATTTTGATGCTACATATAGACTTGAACATAAGCAAGTTGTGTAGGCGTTTTCTGAGAAACTTATTCACATCTTCATGTAGATAATTCACAAGTAAAATCATCTGGATGTAGACAGTAGAAAAGTAGACTTATCTGGCTGCGGGTCACAAGTAGAGTCCACACGTAAACTCATTTGGCTGTAAACAGTCCATTCGTAAACTCACCTGCCTGTAGACAGTCCACACGTAGACTCACCTGCCTGTAGACAATCCACATGCAGACTCACCTGGTTGTAGACAGTCTACAAGGAGAGTCACGTAGAAATAATATGACGTAATGTTAGAATGACACGTTTAGTGACCTGAGGTTCTTGTCAGGAACCTCAGGAATTCCTAGAGACTTGCTGGTCTTCAGGAATCTTTATATTGGAAGCCTTACCATTCAGGTTGTCACATACCAGTGAAGGGGGTAAGTATATCATTAAAATTGCGCTTGGGGGTACATATTCCCCGCTTCTTACTCAAAACTAACACAGGTAACTAGCACATATGTGAAAAACAAAATAATATTACTATTATTATCATCATACCATCTGTATCCTATTCACAGAGGGCGCAAGACATTAACTTGTTACTGCCAATACAGGTCACCCAGCTGGCAGGTGGTGACGATGGAACCCACCAGACCACCACCTACTTCACCACCTACACCTACTACAACACCTTCCGGGCGGGCAACAGGCCCTTCGTGGTCACCAGCAAGGAGACGGTCGAGAATGTGGTAACTGTCCCCATCCCCGAAGCGGGCAACGTTATAGAGAGGACAGAGGTGGGTCATTTTATACATTAAGACGGCTCGCCAACTGATGTTTCAGTTGTATTGAAACCTACCTAACCTAACCTAGCCTTACCTAAACTAAAGTAAACTAATCTAATCTAACCCAGCCAAGTCCCGATCAACCCAGCCTAAGCTAACCTAACCTCAGCCTTACCTAACCTAACCTAATTTAACCTAATTTAACCCATCCCAACCAAGCATAAAGTAATCCAACCTAAACAGCCAATAAATCATAATACTTATAAGAAAATGGGGCCATGTGTGTGTGTGAAACACCGTGAAACAATTTTGACTATCTAGTCCACAGAGTAGCGTGCATCGTACTCATGCCGGCTTTGAGTAGCATGCATTATGTTGTCACTTGAACTCTCGTAGGATTTAGCGCGAGGTCTTGGCATGAAACATTTTCTTGTCAACAGTTAAACATTTTGACAGAAGACCATCCAAACTAAGTATAGTACACGTATACTTAGTTTGATGAATTCAGTAATATTCCCAGGAGTTACTATATTACAGACATACCTTGGTCACAGTAGCATGTAGTTGAGCACAAGCTCTCCAGGTGTGTATACAATTGACGAGTCCTAAGCCGGCTCTCAGGGCTTACTTTGAATTTTTCTATTGCTTCCAGGGGGGGGGGGTATTTCTATTGCTTCCAGGGGGATATTTCTATTGCTTCCAGAGGGTGCTTTCAGGGGGATATTTCTATTGCTTCCAGAGGGTGCTTTCAGGGGGATATTTCTATTGCTTCCAGAGGGTGCTTTCAGGGGGATATTTCTATTGCTTCCAGGGGGGTATTTATATTACTACCAAGGATACATTTATGGGAAATTTTGTGGGTTTCATATGTACTTCTATTTCTTCCTGGGTACTTCTGTTTCTTCCTGTGGTATTTCGATTTATTCTTGTGGTACTTCTATTTCTTCCTGGGGTACATCTATTTCTTCCTGGAATACTTCTATTTCTTCCTGGGGTACTTCTATTTCTTCCTGGAATACTTCTATTTCTTCCTGGGGTACTTCTATTTCTTCCTGGAATACTTCTATTTCTTCCTGGGGTATTTCTGTTACAAACAGCAGAGCAGCTTTTATTTGTTATTATTCGCTGATATGTAGTGGCAGAAAGCATACTCTAAATAAATAGAATTGGAGTGGAACTGATGTGGATTTCAAAAAAGGTTTGTTTTTTTGGTTCGTATTCTCTTTGTATGCAAGTTACCTTGATTTAGTTATGCACATTATTTCGGATGGATATTTTTTTTACTCTGTTATAGATGTGAAATTTTAATAGCCGTTGTCTCTGTTCTATATATATTAATTACTGGTAATGTGGAATTTAACGCCTCGTTTTGTTTCCATAATTACAGGTGACTTTCGATACTCACACGTACTACACAACTCAGACCTTCACTCGAACAGTAGGCCAGGACACGTCTGAAAGAGTAGTGACGTCGAAGGAAATCCTTACCCAGGTGGTGATCACAGAGGCGCCTTCGGTAGAGCGGTCGACGGCCGTACCCACCAGGTCCTCCCTCGTCGTCAAGACTTACTTCACAACCCTCACCTACTACAACACTGCGATAGCCGGCGTCTCCACTGTCGTCAGCACCAGCACTGTGGTCTCGTCGGAGGTTGTGACTGAAACAGCCTACGTGACCGGTACTCCAAGTCTTGGAGGGGTGGGCGGGTTCGATTTTACGCCCACACCAGCCGTCAAACCAGTCGCATCACTCGACGCCGATCAGGACGAGCTTGTTCTGTACGTCACCAAGACTATCTACACCACCCTCACCTACCTCACAACTATCTTGCAAGGCAGTAATACCGTCACCACTTCCAGAATTGAGATCACGTCAAATGTTCTCACGGAACCTTTGATATCTGCATCAAATTCTGAGGAGCTCATCTCCTTCAAGAGCTCTTACTTGTCGACGCCCACAGAGGTCAGCGGATCACAGCCAGAGACAGTCAGCTATATCAAAATCAGGGACAATGTTTACAAGCAGGTACGCACTTTCTTCGCTACATATACACACTTTACCACCCTGCAAAATGGTGCAATCCATTCAAGACTTGAGACCAAGACACAGGTCTTTACCTCTACTGTGACCACCACAGGTGTCCCCGCATCGCTTCTCGTCAGTCCTACGAGCCAGTTCGAGCGTCCTTCCATTAGAACAACTACAAGGGTTCCATCTCTAGGCACAACCGCTGGTGTCCAGCTCGACCCATCGTATCTGTCGTCATTGAGAAGTTCCATTCTGGCGGGCAAACCTTCGTCTACACCACCTGGCCCGAGTGAGGAAGAAGGTCTTCAAGCTACAGTTTTAGTCAAGGAGGGCGATCCGTCAGGAACCTTCGTGGCGAGCGACTCCACAACATCAGTCACCTTACTCGTGCGACCCTCCGAAGACCTCTCGACGTCCGTGTTGACTGGGCAGACAATTGTTATTTTTGACTCTTCATATCTCTCTTCTCTGAAGTCTTCTTACCTGGCCTCCGTCTCTCCCGACCAATCCTCCTCAGCGTTGCCCATCAGTCCGACAGTGTTGGCGCCGTCACCCACCATCGACCCAGATGTTACTAATCCATTACCGGTTACCACCTCCGAATATGATACCACGCCGGAAGTGACAGATGCTCCCTTGTCGGATGTAACTGTGTTCCCAGCAGAAGACGAGCTGACGGATGCCTTGACTGAAGCGCCATCTACAGGCAAACCTCCTCCCATTGCACATCTACATGCCGTAGATCCTGTTCCAGATGCTCCCGCCCCTGTTGTTTCTGCTCCTGCACCTATTCCTTCTCCTGGTGGTGAAGCTACTTCTGAAGGATTAAGTATCACAGACTCCAACGACGACGGCCTTGACTTTGACCTAGGTCCAATGTTTACAGCTGTTGCAGGTATCATACGCAACAACCTCAGCAACAAGTTTATCAACTCGAAGTCAGATGCCGACAACCGCAGGAAAATCAATCCTCCTATTCGCCCCTCCAACACTCTCATCGCGGCTCAGCGAGAGCCGCTGCTCATTCCAATTGGTGGAGTAGGAGCCTCCCTCAGCAGCTCTCGTGACCGTACTGAAGATCCGGAACATGGCTTCATCCCTCTGAGGCGGCCTGACATTCCCCTTCATGGCCAACCAAGATTGCCTGCAGGAGCTCAGACACCATCCAGAGGATTTGCCGCTCCAAGCTTAAGTCCTGGTTTTATAAGAATTTCTCCTGGGAGGCCAAGTTCTCAGCTGCCCAGCTTCTCAGTCCCGATCAATATCGATGAAATGGAGGGCTTCGGTCCAACGTTCCTGCCTCCTAATACACAGTTGGGCTTCACTGCCATGACAGCAGACCCTCTTGGACCCACTCGGGTGTCGGTTATTTCCGGGTCGCCAACCATTTTCTTCGGGGGTGTTGGTCCCAATGATCTGCCGCCGCCGGGTCAGCCAGCTCCCTTACCGCCTCAGGGACACCAAGTTGAGCGTGGCACTGTTTTCATACATCCCAGTCACCCGGCCATGCAAGACGAGACGAGGCCAGTTCCTGTGCCAATTCGTGTTCCATTACCTGGTGACGGAGGAACCATTCACCACTCTGAAGTCCCCGAATCTGCCGGAGACCAGGTGGCAGCAGGAGACGCTTACCCACAACTTGTGTCATCCAGGCCGCCACCACACCACCCTCAACCATCAAGAGTCGGACCACAGACCATTGTCAGTATAGAAGGTGATAATCGCATCGTCGGAACGCAAGTCATTCACGCCCATCCTCCCCGGCAGCAGCATTCACAGCCGTCCATCATCGTGTCTCCAGCCGGCGGAGAGTTCGTCCTCCACTCCACGGTGGGTATTGGTCTGCTTACTGGTGCTCACGCAGACGAGCGGCCCCAGCCACCACCACCAGAGCTCGAGAGTACTGTCGTGTCTGGGGCAGAGACCATCATGCTAGGTCATGGTCTCAATAGCGGACGCACAACCATCGTTCGCGGCTCCTCCACCGTCATGTCCGGAGCCACCACCATCTTCGGGTCGTTGTTTACCCGGCCGGCAGCCAATAGTGAACCTGAAGGTGATCTAACTTCCGTAGTGACCGGACCTGAAGGTACTCCGACCCGTCTCATCACCCGTGTGGAGACTTCAGCCCGCACCATCACTGCCACGCGTACCGAAGTCGTTTTCACCCTGGGAGTAACGTCCACTCTGACGGAGGTCATCCGCAGCACTCTGCCACTCCGCACTATCGTCACCACTATCGTTGGCACGACCACCCGCGTCACCTACATCACCGCCACCGCAGGCATCGCTCCCTCAGACGACAGTGACCCCACCACATACCCACCTGGCTCACCTTTTGACCCAGCTAACTACCCATCCTTCCCCCTGGACCCTCATCCAACTGAAGGCACTGAATTGCGTCTACCTGGGGAAGCGGAAGTGGTTCTGAGTGAAGCTACGCTAGGCATCGCAGAGGATAACGAAATCAGTCGAGTAGTTGAGAGCAAAAGCCCCGACCAGGAGATCAACATGGGAGGACCTATGAGTGCCCCTGTGTCAAAGTGTGAGCCACAGTGCTCCGCTGCCCGCCATGAGGTCTGCAGGGTGGTGCGAGGTGCCCATACCTGCGTCTGCCGCGCCGGTTATTCCCGCAAGAGCGATTATGACGCCTGTAAAAGTAAGTGAGAGTGATTCTGAATGAGTAAATCATATGGAGTGTGAGAAATAAGGGACGAAGGTAGCGTAAGACATGTGAGGCGGGAAGGAAGTAGAGCGGGTCAAAAGGAAATCACTTTCTTATTAATATGTAAACGGACATAAATTATTAATATTCGAAAATACGTTTTGCTCCTGAAGTTACAATGACAATCGTAGGAGTCAAAAGCTTAAGATTTAATTGGTAGTCAGTTGCATTTTTGGTGAACCTTGATCCCAGCGAGAGAATTATGTCAGAGATAACTCTTACTCTCATGTCAAGTCAAACACTTTCCATTACAGTCTTCCTAACCTACACCCGCCTCATCCATTACAGTCTCAGTGGTCTACACCTACCTGGTCCATTACAATCTCTACGTCCTTCACCTCCTTTTTTCGTTAGTATCCCCAGCCTACACTGTCCAACCACTTGGCCTGGACGGTAGAGCAACGGTCTCGCTTCATGCAGGTCGGCGTCCAACCCCCGACCGTCCAAGTGACTGGATACCATTCCTTTCTCCCCGTCCCATCCCAAATCTTTATCTTAATTCCTTCCAAATGCTATATAGTCGTAATGGCTTGCCGCTTTCCCCTGATAGTTCCCTTCCATTCCCCAGCCTACACTTCTTCCACTACCGTCTCACCAGCCTACACCCGTCTCTCCCATTACAGTCTCCCTAGCCTTCAACCTCCAAGTCGTACTCGACCGGATGAGTGGTGTTGAGCTGGTATACGACCCTGTACTAGACAACACCAGCCACCCCATCACCCAGGACCTCTCCGACATCACCGTCCACGGTATAGGTCAAGCCATGCAAGACTCCATGCTCGGCCCGCGATTCCACGGGGCAACAGTCACCAAATTTACTAATATCAAGGAAATGATCTTGCCCCCCTTCATGGCCCCAATGGTAAGTGCACTACTGTCCTAAGATTTAGTGATGAATAATGATTAGTGTTTACGAATGATTCCATAAATGATTTGCATGTTTATTAGATGCCAATGTGCATTTTTTCATGAACGTGTACTGTACGACAGTTTATGTATATGTCTATTAGATGTAGGATCAGTTAGATGTGTAGTAGTTAAAGAGGCTATATATATGGCTAACATAATCGTGCAGTAGAGGGACATTCTTTCACCATATGACATTCTAATTAATTGTAATATTAATCTCTTCCGTCTTCAGGAACGCGGGTTAGTAGCAGACATCAAGGTAGAGCTCTCGAGGACAAACGAGGGTGATACATTTAACGACGACTTGAACGAGTCTGTAGTGAGAGAGGCCCTGGAACTCTCCTTGAAGGACGCCAACTTCTCTCTGGGAGATTCCGATATCGTTGCTAACAGGAGGGTGTCGGTGTTGGCGTCCCAGGACTTCGACGAATGCTCTCACGAGGAACACAACGATTGCTCCAGCAACGCCAATTGCTTTAATACTCCTGGCTCCTTCCTCTGCGCCTGCAGGGATGGTTTTAAAGATATGGGTAACCTGCCCGGACGGCAGTGTGCAGGTGAGGGTGGTTCATTTACTTCTCACCACATTCAGATAGTTGTCTAGTAATACGTATGAAAGTTATTTTCAAAAATGAATATATTTTAAGAATATCAGTGACCAGGATATCGTGTCACACATATGTTCTTATGTCCGTTTCTCTGCCATTCGATCACACCTCTTTTTGATTTATGAAACAAATTACCGGGCAACATAACAGACGTATGATCGCTGGAATGTTGCAAGCGTTGGTAAGACATATTGGAACTGCCGAGCTTGAGTCGCTATGTCTTCTGTAGCTTCCTTTATTCTTATGTTACCTAAGTTTGTTGCTTTATTAGACATTTATCTTAGTTACACCTGTTCTCAGTACGACATGTCTAACCACAGTACCCGCTACTCTCCCCCCTTACAGTGCAGACAGAGCAGTGTGCCAGATGTAACTTCCAAGGCGAGTGTGTCTCTCAGATTGACGGCTCAACAGGGTGTCGATGCCTCCAGTGGTTCAGTGGCGATCGCTGCCAAATTAACCTCAGAGGTGCGTTTCAGTGGAGTTCATGGGCTGTTTTTCATCATCTTAAAAATATCAGCGTATTATTTACGCATTTGTGCATTTGTTCATTCACTTGTTCATATGTGGCGCCGTATAACCTATAAATGTTACGGCGCCAGAACTAAAATGCCATTTATCAATTAAAATAGTATACCTGTTATTCTATGAAGTATATTCCCAGTTGTACTGATTATGCTCGATAAATTAAGTGACACTCTGATACACCTGCGTATGTCAGCGTTCCTGCTGATGCAACATGGACAATAGGTCCCATTATAACTGAAGTTGCCATGCACCTTGGGACTTGCCTCTGTTTACCGTTGCCATAGAGCTGTATGGATGATCGCTATTGGTGAAACACATTCTCTCGACAGTTTTGCTTATCGTGCTGGTGACGGTGGGTTCCCTGCTGATCCTGCTGTTGCTGCTCTGCTGTGCTCTCTGCTGCATTCGGGCTAGACGCAACACAAGGAATAAACTGGGACAGGTGAGAGAGATTTCGACATCGGTTGAGTTTTATGTCAGGTCACTGCAATAAGAAACTGTCCAACCATAAATAAATAAATTATATATATATATATATATATATATATATATATATATATATATATATATATATATATATATATATATATATATATATATATATATATATGTCATACTGCCTAACGTCTTGACAGATGCCTGGCGCCCCTACATTCTTGAGGGCTCGAGGAGCAGGTATGACCAGCACTCTGGACCGTCGAGCCATGATTCAGGAGACCTCCTCTGAGAGCTCCGTCGATCACTCCCGCCTCCACGCCACCTCCTTCAGGGTACAGTACTGAGGCTTGCTTAGGAGCCAGCAGCAATGTTTTTGGTAGACCTTGATCTAGGCTTCACCCAGTGTCTGGAACTTTCTTAATGGAGGAGTTGAGTCACTTGGTGCTAGTGTGTGGATAGTTATTGGCTTTAATGCTTGACTTTAGTGCATTTAGCGAGGTTTGCGTTCTTCAAGTCAGCTCTCTATTTCAAGCTTTGGACCTGATGCTCAATAGAATCACAAGAACGTCATATATCTATGATAAAATATTTAAGCCACTCAAAAATATTTTTGAGTTTATTATATCAACCTGTCCTTATAGAGGAAGTATCCTGGAGGTAATCACTTCGAAACCACTTCGTAATTAGTTATATTATCTACTCCCTATCCATGGTTAGGTTAGGTTTAGGCTATGTTAGTTTATGATTAGGTTTAGGTTTGTTAGTTTATGGTTAGGTTAGGTCTCATTACGTTTGGTTACACGAATACAGTATATTATTCTCATATATGTTAAATACGAAATTCGAAAACTATTTTAGTATCTCCTAGAATTTCATATACAGTAGAGGAGAATGAACAGGCATAGGATTGTGGTAGCCAGTCGGAGATTAATCTCAGGTTTTCTTTGCGTTCAGACACCACGAAGCTACGAGAAGCAGGAGCGAGTACCCCGGGCCCCCAGATCAGAGATGAGCATTGGACGACTCTCCCACGCGTCCTTCGCCGAGGACCGCTCCGTCGGGGTGCACACCACCCTCCCGCCTGTGGTAAGTGCTGCCGCCTCCTGCTGGAGGAACCATTGTCCCAACTGTTTTTCGTTTGTTTTTTCACGGTTGGGTCCAGGAGCAGATGACTTCTATTTCCTGTTTGAAAGCTTAGATATTTCCCTCCTATAGCTCATCTTAAGCTTTATCCCTGCTAGTTTTCCCCTAGAATATCATCAGCCAATTGGTTCACTATCAGGTCCTCAATTATAATTGGATGAACACGGACGAACAGGTCAGAATCGGTGCCCAATCATTTCTCACCGTCCAAGGCTTGACCTGACAAATGTCTTTATATCGTGGTGTGATACTTTAATGGGAAACTTTTAAGGAAGGTGTTAGTTTCCGTGTAATTGTTAGCGAAAATAAGTTGGAGACCAAATTTTTGGGTAGATTTGTGTTGCAACAGAATGTCATAAGCGGTGTTGGTGTGTTAAACACCGGAGATTATATTAAGTTAGTGGAGCATTTAGCTGAACCCTTCGTGTGATTGGCTGTGGTGGTGTATGTCAACAAAGAATTCCTACCAATTGGATGCAAGCGCGGGAATGCTTCCCTTAACACAACAACAACCCGCCTTATGGGCTGCTGATGGCTTATTAATAGTGCAATGTTCTTCTGATAGATGGCATCAGCCAGTGCTAACCTGTTGATAATATATATGTTTTGTTGCGGATAGATAAGAGAAAGACACAGAAATATATATAATATCTGGATAAAAAGAGATAAATCGGAATACAAAATCCAGTAACACCTGAATGATATAGATCATTGAGACTATTGCAAGACTTTCGTCGGGTGAGTCGATCATAAAGAAACACAAGGCATCTTGCCTAAGATTAGCTTATGCTTAGGCACTTGGTGGATCTTGGCTAACCTTACAGCGATACATCTTGCACAGTCTGTGCGGTTGAAAAAAGACCGAATGCACTGCAGAGAATTGCAAATAATAAATATCACCTTATTAGTAAATAACAGTTCACTGGTACGGAATTAAAACGGTTTTTTATTAGCGTTAAAAAACGTCTTCTCTTGCAGCTGATACCTCGAGTGAAGGGACCAGCGCCTCCCCGCCCCGCCGTCGTGAGCCGAGGGCAGAACGGTGAACCTCGAGTGATGATTGGAGCCGACGCTCGTTCCGACCTCGCCAGCTCCCAGCAGGCCTTCGTCGACCTCCTTGACCAGCCGGCTCCAGCCGCTTCCGCAGCGGGCAACAGGTCCAGCAGGAGGGAGAGTATTACTGCCGCTTCAATCCACAGCAGCTGCGCCAGGATCAACCGCTCCAGATCACAGTCCAGAGAACGGCTGGATGATAGCTTCCTCCACCAACTTCATCCACAAGGCTCCGTCAGGTCCCACTCCACTGATAGACTTCACCACAGCAACCACGACCGTTCCTCTGATAGACTTCACCACAGCAACCACGACCGTTCCTCCGATAGACTTCACCACAACAACCTCGACCGCTCCTCTGATAGACTTCACCACAGCAATCACGACCGTTCCTCCGATAGACTTCACCACAGCAACCACGACCGCTCCACTGATAGACTTAACCACAGCATCCACGATCTCAACTCTGAGTTTGGGGTTAACTTTTCCTTCAGAGGAGACGGTGAAAGGCAAGTAAAGTCGAAAAGTTTTTATTGGTTATGTAACTTCACATGCAAATATAATTGGCCATTTTTCCCCATCAGGTATTTATGGGGCCATTGTACCTTAACACAAATAAATTATCTGGCTAACATTGGGATTAGTTCAAGGCGCACATCTTCTAGTAGACCTATACGCCTTTGTCTAGTAACGTTGTGTGTGTTAATCCCGAGTTCCCTGCCCAACAGGACCATGAGCATGGCCCGCTCCTACGACGAGACCACAGTGAGGCCCCCGATCAGAAGCCTGGGAGCCGACAGCTTCTACTCCTCCAAGGCTTTGTCTTCTCAGCATATATCCGACGTATGTACGGCTGAACGAAGCGGGGAGAGAGAGAGAGAGAGAGAGAGAGAGAGAGAGAGAGAGAGAGAGAGAGAGAGAGAGAGAGAGAGAGAGAGAGAGAGAGAGAGAGAGAGACAGAGACAGAGAGAGAGAGCATTCGACAAAATGTATAAACGACAATTGAAATTGAAATAAGTTAATGAATATATTTGAATGAATATGTTTGATTGAATATGTATGAATGAATATGTTTAAATGAATATGTTTGAATGAAAGGAATACTTGCTCAAGGAATGTGCTGTGGTGTTGCTAACTGTGTTACAGTAAGTCATACCACCCATGTAACATTAGGTTATTACCCCCCCCCCCCTCCGTGTAACGTTAGTTTATACTACCGGTGTAACATTAGGTTATACCACCCGTATAACACTAGGTTATACCACCCGTATAACACTAGGTTATACCACCCGTATAACACTAGGTTATACTACTGTTCCACCCACCTAAGGCGTGCATGAAGGAGCCAGCATGAGAAAAAGGGGAGAATTGCTAGTCACAATTAGCTCTATATTTCTTAGTTTTACTTTCTAATAGAGTCCTTAATTAAGCTGTCATGGAACTAGATATGTAGATTTTAATATAATTACTTCTTATAGCTTATAGCATATAGAGATACATAGAATAAACGTAATTATTTCCCACTTTTAAAATAGATAATAGACTCTAATATATATATTATATTATATTATATATATATATATATATATATATATATATATATATATATATATATATATATATATATATATATATATATATATATATATATATATATTATTGCCTTCTTAAAGAATTTACAGGTCTTACTGGGAATGCAATTTTACCCCCTGTCAAATACACTTTGTGCAACAACACTGAGATCAGTATTACAAAGAACAAAAGCATTGCACCCTCAAACTGTATGCCCTGGCAATACTGAATCAGAGCCCACACTTACATTCAAGTCTACACGTGTAGAAATGTCTGTAGAAAGGTTTTTATTCAAAGACACAGACTCTTAAGTTTGATCTACGTACGAACTAATACGATCCTTTGAGCACTCTCGTGTGAACTAAGAACGAGAAAGTAGAATTACTGATTGATTGAGTGATGAAGATAAAGCCACCCAAGAGGTGGCACTGGCATGAATTGCCCCTAAGCAGAACTACTCAATGTTGTACTTCAGATATAGGGACAAAGCCTAAATTTAATGCGCCATACACACACGACAAACAAGATTCAATGCACCACACACTCACCACAAACCAGATTCGATGCACCACAACTTATTTACAAATGCAGCAAAATGTTACAGTGTTGAACATTTAAAGACAAGATATTACACTGTAACCTTTGAAGACTAGACGTTAGAGGACCTAGCCAAGACGTTCAATTGTTCATGAACCAACTCTCTTTCTTACTTTCCGGTATTAGTTCAACACTTTCCGGTATTTTATGACGTTCTCGGATACAGGGACACGGGAGCTTATACTGAAGGAGGCCTCAATATATGGAAGGGCAAAATACTGTGAAGGAGTGTTTAAGATAGCCTCTGCGCAGTTGTTTGGTCAAGGAGTGACGCACCTCACTTCCCGACAGACAAGGGATATACACACCGAGGGGTATATACGACAAGGGCTATAGAAACCGAGGTATATGTACACCTAGGATATAAACACCGGGTGACTTGCCCCCTCCTCTTGGTGTACATACACTCAGTTTACTTTAGTACTGAATGTTGTTCAGGACGTATGTAAACTTGCGGGCTGTAAGCCTATCCCTCAGTATCTACATCACCTCACCAGTCAACCCAAATATCACTCCGAGATATCTTATCGTTCTTCTTCTTCCCCTCCTTCGTTTGCTATAGCTACATCTCCTTTCCCTCGTCTCCTCTTCCCATTTATAATCCGCACACGCAGTATCTCCTGTGATCTACATAATGTACACCTAGGTTCTCCTCTCAACACACCATTGCTACCTGGCTTGACCAACCCGTGTTCTCACACACGTAGGAACACCAGACTATGGCTGAACGAGACGGCGGATCCACTGTTGTCTACCCCCAGACAGAACTCTACCGGCCTGTCCGTGTAAGTTGTTACCACTTCAGGTACTCTCTCTCCTCGTATTACCTTCAGGTACTGCCCCTCTCCCCCCTCTTCCCACTACATCTTCAGGTACCTTCCTCCCACTGTCTTCTCAGGTACTCCATTACGCTCGACGCCTTTTTCTTTTGCCAATTTTAACCTTTTTTCCGACGTTAATTCTAATTGGAATTCGTCTCTGTCAAGTTACATTTAGTTTGTGCATGTTTTGAGCTATTGTGTAGCTATAGAAAATTGTATTCTATAGGGATTGGACGTTGAAATTTCTTGCTGTCGAGATGTAGAACTTTTGCATGACCATTGCTAACTTGAAACTTTTTTTGCACAAGTAAATGTAAGGAGTGAAACACTCTCACTCACACCTATCGGGTTTGCATGTGTTAATTTACTTTCCAAAGCACATAATACTTCTCTGTGTTTTATGAATTACAGATTTATGTCATATGCCAAGTTTAATGTAAAATATATTTTTGTCTTAAAAGCATTTTGAACTTAAAATGCGAGAACTACCATCAAAATATACTTGCATTCCCATTTTCTGTGATGAATTAAATGATTCCGTAAAGACTTTGTAAAAAATACTGACAAAAATACCTTGATAAGGGCTGTATTTCTCGAGAGATATACTCCATTTCTCGGTGTATACACTGAGTTTACTTTACTCCTGAACTTTATTCAGGACTAAAGTATACTTGTTGATTGGTTCTAGTAACCCTCTAGAGGGTGACAGGCCTTCAACCTTACAGCATGCCAATACATTGCTCAGTTTAATTCCACTGTGCAATTAGATCACAAAATAGTTGCTTAAACCAGAAGTTAATTATAGGCGTAAATACATAAACAACTTCTGGCTGAACTTTTACCTGAGGGCCATTCTAGTGGCCTCGACGGAAACAGGAAGCAGACGGCTTGTCAAACTTCCCACAGTATGACTTAGAATTCCGACACTGAGATGTGGCTTTGGAATCCCTCTCCCCCCCCCTGAACCCCATCTGACACTAAAATGTGGCTTAGACCCCCCCCTTCCCCTCCATCCTCCCGTTACAATAATACTTATCCCCTGCACCTAAGAACGGTCTTAGTTCCCACAGCGCATTTTATACTTGCCTCACATGTTCATCACAAGCCACAGAAGAGCTCATTTCGTTCCACTTGCAACAGCCGAAGGTAACGTATGTGTCCACGACACACTTTCTGTACCTACATACAGTTGATGTTGCAAAACACTCCCCAATCACCTACAGAAAGCTGTATGTCATAACCCTCCACCAATGTAGAGCTTCCATAAGACGGAAATCATTTCATTTCCTTCCGATCGAAAAGGTTAGCAATAGCTTCTGTCGCTGCTTGCAGGATTCCGACTCGCTGAGCGACATGAGCGAGCAGCACTCCAAGGTCGCCTCCAGCAGAGCAGCCTCCCGAAACTTCTTCTCCTGAACCACAACGTCTTCACCGCCGCCGTTGTCGCCACCAACCCCCGCAGACGATTCAGGGTCTGCGTCTGCTCATCCTGACACAGGGAAAACAGAGGAGAGGGAGGACGTCTCTTGAGCCCGCTAGTCTTCGGCAGCATTGTATGCTGGGGTGTATATTTGTGCTTTTTGTAAACAGGTTTTCTTGGTATATAATTGGAACTGACGTGATTGGCTTCGTGCGTGTTGTTACTACTGAAGCCAAGAGGTTTACTTTGTGTCTGGTGGTGCTAATGAAGGTCGCTACTAGAGACTAGATCTAGCTACGAAAATTAAAACAGTGGCGGAAAAGATCCAAATCGAATCACAGCTTCCCAAGGCTAGTGGGAGCGGCGAGGCCTCTCTCCTCGAAAAGAATTTGCATATAGTGAAATAAGAACATAACAAACAGAAGCAAAACCAGAAGATAAATATATATATAGATATATCTACTTTTTTACCACTCTTTGTGTAGTTCGTCCACTCGCTCTCTGCTCTGGAGATAAGGGGTGCAAAGCCAAAATCTAAAATGGCTACAACGCCATTATTTTAAGTAGTTTTCTCCTTCAATTTTCAGAGGTGCTTTTGGACTTGGCCGACATAGAGTCACAGGCCATAGAGGAAGGTGGGGTGGCGTCCCCACCCCCTCTTGTGTTTCTTCTCCAACCTTGCGTGGTGAATATCTTCTCCTGAAGCAAAATAGGTCACAAATTGGCTTGAGAAATAAACTAGCATTTGCTCAAGGCAGCTTCATAATATTTATTTATTTTTGATGCAGCAGTTGATATATATATATACATATGTATCTATTTTTTTCCTTTTTCATCTGTTTGCTATCATATATTAACTAAATGAGTGCTGAAGCCAGCACTTCATACTTTTATTATTTTGTGACCTAATTTGCTGACCCCCATATTATATATATATATATATATATATATATATATATATATATATATATATATATATATATATATATATATATATATATATATATATATATATATATATATATATTGTTAATTAAAGTTTATCTATATTTTGTACTTATAAATAATTGTTACTTTACCTTTTAATGTTCGGTGTAAAGTCAAAAACTTGTTACATTAGTTCACTGTAATTACTAATAGTATAATTTTAGAAAGCATTCATTGCCTGAAGATTACATCTGAGGCAGAAATGAAAGAAAGTCTCCTTACTTTCTTCAGAGAGAACGATTCTCTTTACTGTATTCTCCAGCCACTGAACTTTCAACTCTCTATTTTGAGTTGAACATCTTTCGTCATAGCTATTATGAAATGTAAATAGATTCCTTGTATATATATATATGTTTAACAACGATCATATGTCTGGCTGGTCCAAGCGAACTGTACTATCTTAGCCCACATCTCTTATGGCCACATGCTTGATGAGTTAGCCGGTCTGCGGTTATCCTTTCCTCATCAGACGCATCTTAAACTTACTTTTAAGGCCGTTTTTTTAAGGACAGAAGCCCTTTAGAACTTATCTAAACTTTGTTGACCAAGATAATTCAATAGATTGTGTACATTAAGAGAGAGAAAAAAAGAGAATTTAAGGATTCAATGTATTAGTTTGATTACAATCATGGACCATCTTCTACTTGCCGGTGATCTAGCAATTGTGCCTCTAATTTAGGGTTGAACCTTTTTAATGTGAACCCCTTAGATTATCTGGTACCATAAGAGCAGTGGTGGGCGAGACTTCGGCTAATCTACGTCCGACAGTGTTTGACATCAATATCATATAACCGCGTAAAAAGAACAAAATATGGTGACTCCCCCATTTCTTCATAACTCTTCTACCCTGTATACAATATTCCCATTGAATTAAATCCGAGACTAGAATTTTGGGGTAACTTGCGATACATGGGAAGTTTTAAGTCTACGAGCCATTTATAAAGCATATATTTTATGGTGCCAGCATGTAGGTTGGGAGTTGGCACTGGCTCTTGCTAGATCGTGGTGCCTCAGTGCCGTTCTTCCTATGGAAACGTAGCATCAAAGTCAAAACTTGTTTTTCTTCTTTACTGTGTGCGTGTAATGGCCGCTTCATCCGGGAGAACGGAGCCAAGAAGGTTGAGATAGCATATAAGTGTCCAGCCCCCGTACTGTATAAACAAATAATAATCACTTTTGTGCCAAACAGAAGCACGTCCATTTCTTAGGGTCCAAACCAACTTCCGTCTCCATCTATGTAATATAATCATCCTTCCAAACAGGTGTTTTTAGTGCTGAACCTGTAATTTTCGTCGCCTGCTCTGATGCTCTTGAAGTTGTATTGATACGAAAGCTGTACAATGTAGGGTTATCAATACTAACGGCGGGAGGCCATCACAGCAGGGACCTCTGGACCTGCCCAAGCACATGTACCAGCTTGCTCCATTTTATTAATAAAGAATACATATTCGTCAAGTTACTTTCATTCACTGTCAGATCCTTATTAACTGACTCAATCATTTTATGAAGTGGGTTTTGAATATCGCACCGAAGATGAATAAATAATGAATAAATTGATGAATTAAGCTCATGATAAGAAACAAATAATACTTTGGAACGAGAACATGCTGAGTGCAGTGTTAATACTCACCCCACAGCAACAGCATATCCACCATGGTCAGGATACACAATCCAGTGCCAGGATAATACATTGGTCATATAATGCCATGATACACAGTAAGTGTATCATGGTATTGTATGTGTAGTTAACTAAATATGTGTACTTCACTGTAAATATATACGAAGTGTAAACATTGTAAAGTCAGTGTATACACAATGTTGCCAAGAGTACACTCTACAGTACCGACATTCAAACCACACTGTAATCCCAGAATATACACTGTAGTGCCAGAACATACACTGTAGTGCCAGAACATACACTGTAGTGCCAGAACATACACTGTAGTGCCAGAACATACACTGTAGTGCCAGAACATACACTGTAGTGCCAGAACATACACTGTAGTGCCAGAACATACACCATAGTGCCAGAACATACACTGTAGTGCCAGAACATACACTGTAGTGCCAGAACATACACTGTAGTGCCAGAACATACACCATAGTGCCAGAACATACACTGTAGTGCCAGAACATACACTGTAGTGCCAGAACATACACTGTAGTGCCAGAACATACACCATAGTGCCAGAACATACACTGTAGTGCCAGAACATACACTGTAGTGCCAGAACATACACCATAGTGCCAGAACATACACTGTAGTGCCAGAACATACACTGTAGTGCCAGAACATACACTGTAATGCCAGAACATACACTGTAATGCCAGAACATACACCGCAGTGCCAGAACATACACTGTAATGCCAGAACATACACCGTAGTGCCAGAACATACACCGCAGTGCCAGAACATACACTGTAGTGCCAGAACATACACTGTAATGCCAGAACATACACTGTAGTGCCACGGTATACAAAACAATACCCTACTAATATTCTCCAACATTTATATTATTAATGAATTCAGAATGTTTTTTTACACAAATTAAGTTGAAAATGCGTTCACGTCATAAGAAAATATGACGAAAAATTTAAAAACCTAAATTTACCAAAACGTACCTAAATTGACCAACAATTTCTACAATAAATCTAACATATAAAATGCTAATCTTATGTTACTTTTATTTTATAATATAATAAGTTATGTTATTGTAGTTTTATGTTATGTTGTTGTAGTTTTCTTGTCATATTGTAGTTTTCCTCTGTCATATTGTTAGTGAATGTAGGCCCAGAATACTCATAATCTGAAATTGGGAATATACTAACTTTATACAGAAATATAACCAAAATTATATATCGAAATATAACCAAAACTTTGTAACGAAACGCAACCAACATTTATAACGAAATATAACCAAAATTTTATAACGAAATATAACCAAAATTTTATAACGAAACATAACCAAAATTTTATAATGAAACATGACAAATATTTTGAAATTAATATTTACCCAAAATTATCTAGATCTAGACGAGCTACAGTTATGTACATATTACAGAAAAATATATTATTCACCCACATACATATTGGTAGTGAACGAAGCACTGTGTCACTGTTTAGATTACAGTGAAAAGATATTCAGTACGGTGTCATAGCATGCAGTATAGGATATACAATGGAGTACCAAGATAGATAGTAGACTGATACACAGTTCTCAAGCATGCATAACAGTGCCAGGGCCTAATCAGCAGTGCCAATAATTAACCAGCAGTGCCAATAATTAATCAACAGTGCCAGGGAATACTCAGCAGTGTAAGGGAATACTCAACAGTGCTCTGAAATAATCAGCAGTGCCAGTGAATACTTAGCAGTGTAAGAGAATACTCAACAGTGCCAAGAATTAATCAACGGTGCCAGGGAATACTTAACAGTGTAAGGGAATACTCAACAGTGCCAATAGATGCACTACAGTGTCAATGAATTTTGAACAGTGCCAAAGGGGATATTCAACACCGCCATGTAGTATTTGACTGTATTAAGGAGAACTCTACAGTGAACAGTGACATACAATATGGTACAGAGCTAATATAATACAGTGCTGATAAATAATGAAGCCGTCAGATAATAATGAACAGTGTCAGAAAATTAAAGCGCTACAATACCATGTAAAGCACTATAGTACTGTGTAGAGCACTATAGTACTATGTAGAGCACTATAGGACCATATAAAATACTATAGTACCACGTAGAGCACTATAGGATCATGTAGAGCACTATAGTACCATGTAGAGCACTATAGGACCATGTAGAGCACTATAGAACCATGTGGAGCCCTATAGTACCATGTAGAGCATTATAGGACCATGTAGAGCACTATAGTACCACATAGAGCACTATAGTACCATAAAGAGCACTATAGTACCATTTAGAGCATTACAGAACTAGAGAACTATAGCACCATATAGAGCACCATATAGAACTTACGTAGAGAACTATAGCACCATATAGAGCCCTATAGTACCATATAGAGCACTATAGTACCATGTAGAGCCTTATAGTACCATATAGAGCACTATAGTACCATATAGAGCTCTATAGTACCATGTAGAGCACTATAGTACCACGTAGAGCACTATAGTACCATGTAGAGCACTACAGTACCACGTAGAGCACTATAGTACCATGTAGAGCACTATATAACCATATCAAGATATAGAGAACTGTGCAATTGGAATTTACTGTATTATCCTGGAATGCAATACTGTACCCTATAATTATCCACCATACATGGAATTACCAACTGTACCATGGAATGAACTGCCGTACTGAGAACTTTACCACCATACAGTGAAATAAACCATGAAATTACTTTGTACCATATTATACGTGACAATGCCCTGTATTTCGCTGCAGTGTAGTACAGCACACTATAGTGCCAATAAATACATTATAGCGCCATGAAATACACTATAGTGTCGTGAAATACACTACAGTCACAAGAAATACACTACAGTCACAAGAAATACATTTTAGGGCCTGTGGAAAGGCGTTTATCAATCAAACTCCTTAGGAACATACTTTTTTATTTAATATATATCATACAACAGGATACTACTGCACTTTTATAAATTAAAAAAGCATTATAAATAATATAAACCTCTCAGTGGTCAATGTAAATTATTGAGTTTATTATGATTAATATAATAAAACTGTAATAAAAATAAATAAAAAATTAATAATAATAATAATAATAATAATAATAATAATAATAATAATAATAATAATAATAATATAATATTACAGCAATAATTATGATAATTGAAATTTCACGTCAATTAAAAAGAATTCATTAGTAAATTAAAACTGAAAAATTATCAGGCAAATTATCTAAGAAAATTGAACTAAAACTGAATTACACAAAAATATACCAAATTATTGAGCCAAATATCATCCCAAGTACTGATATTAACAAATCAACAGCACTTATTGAATGTATTGTGCCTAAAACTCAATATAAATTATCTCGAACATTTAGGGTAGATTTGCTAAGGTTAGTTCCCTGTTTACTAGTTAGCTCTGCTACAACTAAACATATGTATGGTCAGCTTAGCGACTTGTACGTGATCCTGCATATTGTACTTCCTCATCTCCTCTATCCGTTACACCACTGAACACCCCATAATAAGAGAGGATCTCAGAGAAGCGCTGATGACTTCTAACTGAGATTCTAGGTCTCCATTGGGGTACCATTTGAGAAAGAAGGTCTATAGTCTCAGTTGGTGACCAGGGGCATGTCTCTGAGATTCTCTTTTAATGTGGGTGTTAAAAGGTCTTCAAGGCTCCGATGGCCCAAGTGAATGAAATGGTATTATCCACGTTCATATATATATATATATATATATATATATATATATATATATATATATATATATATATATATATATATATATATATATATATATCACTGGGGTGGTTAAACAGCACCGGGTACACGGATCAGAATTATGTGCCTACACATAGATCATGTTACAGGTACATTAGCTATGGTACATAGCATGTACTGCATGGTACAGTTTTCATAAGACGTGGTACGTATTACATGGTCTATGGTACAGAACTCGTAGTACACGGACCGTCATACATGATTCACGGTACAGAACGCCTAGTAGACGGAGTGTATTACATAATTCGTGGTACAGCATTCGGATTGCACTGTACTTACTACATGCTTCGTGATATACGGTACAATGTCACTCGTGAATGGTACATGGGTGGTACAGTACCTGCCCTGTGGTACCGCTCTGGTCACCCCGTGCAAACATTTAGTCAAATATTTAACACAAAAAGAGCGTAGCGTCTGGGACAAGGAGTCACATCAAACACTTCAACATCTAAAGCCCTGGTGATATATAATATCTATAACGTTTTAATCTAATATACACAATATCTTCAAGCTAATTATTGTTCTCGAGTTGAACAGCAGACGTTCAAGAGTCAAGTTTTGTTGCTGTATCACTATTATTATTAATTATTATTATTATTATTTTATTGGTTTTGTTATTATTGCTATCATTATTAGTATAATTTCAACGTCTTTGGTTAAGTTATAAATGTTTAGTGGGTTATTAGAGTTTTGGTATTTACAGTGCATTTATAGACACAAACGCGCACAATTGAAAGGAGTTCTGTTATTGGTGCTGATGTCAGATCCCTTTGGAGCAAATGTCAGAACTGTCATCTTCTCATGCTTGGTGAGGGACGATTGCCGGGGGAGCTGGTTGATGCGTTACGAGTTCCGACTTGGAAGATGGCTTGGTGAATACTTGGAGAGTGTGCTTGTGAGTCTCTTGGTGCCTTCAGTAAGTTTCTGGTAGATAACGGGAATGGTCGCCTTGAATCACGGTTCCTTCCACTGGTGATTCGGTACGATCAGGAGAACTTATAGCCCTGGTGCCTGTTGTCTCTTGGGGAAAGAATGGTGCTTGCTCTCTATCGAGGCGTGAAGGACGTTTCCTTGGCAAGAAAACAAGACATCTAGTACAACACTGTCTCCTCTGTTATGTAACTTGACTTAAGTATTAGTTTGTCTTACACTTGTACCATAAAACACCCAGCGGGATAGGACGAACTTACGTTTAGTGACGTTCTTCCTCCGGAACGTCATATTCACAGTACGTTTAGAGAACTTTGGAACTGAGTGTGGCGTCATGTTCTGGAATATTAAGGAACGCAGGCCCTAGGAAATGGCTCACTACCCAGCTTACTATGTGGTACGCTGGGTATTAGTGGATCAAAAGTCAAATTACCTCCTGGTTGATGTATTTCGATATAAAAGTTTATTAAACACGATAACTTGTTATGTTATCACAGGTTAAACATTATTATATATATTGGGATGTCTTCTTGATTGTTGTGTGATCGTTTAAGGTCGCCAGGGATTAATTCTTCCCCTCGCACGAGCGTCCTGGTGACCATAGTAACAGTGAGGTCGCGGACATGGCCACGACCCTCTCCTACTTGGCGGCGGCCGAGGTCATGCTAGCGGAGGACAGGTCAGTCGGGGTGAGGTCGTCGTCACTCTCTTGAGTCACGGTGAGCTCCTCTTCGTTGTCGTCTCGTCGCTGGGGGTCTGGTAGTTCCCTGGGCGCCGGCCGCTTTTCGGGGGACGTCGGCCGACTTCCGACCTGCCATTCAAACACATACTGATAAATTCCACGTCGAAATTATGTAAACATTGCAGCAGGAGGATCAGCATGCTTGTTGAGTGTATAATGAACCTCTTTTCTCTATTGGATGCAGATATGATGAAAGGAAAGTGGATTGATTTGTTTTAATTTAAGAAAAGAACATTAATTTGACGCTAAAAAAAACTCTGATCATCCACGGAGGCATTGGCACACACGTATACATAATCCCACACAAACACACATTTACACAGAAGCACACACACACACACACACACACACACACACACACACACACACACACACACACACACACACACACACACACACACACATACCTATCCAGTGAAGCCCACATCAAACGGATATCATCAGCGACATATACAAAGTCGGCCAACATAAGACCTTCCTCTGGAGACTTGTGTAAGGAATCATTTAGAGCCGTATACCACATATGTCAGACCAATGCTGGATAACGCAATTTCAGCGTGGAGTCCGTATCTAGGCAGTCACAATACGAAGTTGGAGAAGGTTCAAAGGTATGCCACCATACTACAAGCAGGCTGAAGGGTACGAGCTACGGAATAAGACTCTGGAATTTATTCTCACGTTACTAGAAGACAAAAAAAATAGGGGAAACATGATTACTACATACAAAATTCTCAAGGAAATTGATAAGGTAGATAATGACAGATTATTTAGCACGGGTGGTACTCAGCTTCCAGCACAGGTGGAAGCTGAGTACCCAAATGAGCCCCAGAAATATTAGAAACCATTGTTTTCCAGTCTGAGTATTTAACAAACGGAATGCATTAGACAGTAATGTGGTAGAGGCAGATACAGTTTTAAATGTATATATTACGAAGCCCAACAGTCTCAGGAATCTTTACACCAGTTAATTGACAGGATGAGAGGCGGGACCAAAGAGCACAAGCCCAACCCCCCACAAGCACCATTAGACGAGGAAACACACACGCACACACACACCAACAAAACACCCCTCCCCTCCCCCCCTATCTCTCTCCCGCCTCACCTGTGCTCCATGGAGGTGTAGGGGCAGGGGCAGGCGGGGCAGGAAGGGGTGGTCATGGAGGGGACCGTGTGAGAGGCAGGGGCACAGGCCGGGCCCCAGGCACCCCACGTGTTCCTCCCCGCCCCGCCACCGCAGGCTGGCCGCCGCAGCCGCCGCCGCCCCCAGGCTGAGGAAGCAAGCAAGCACTGGCGTCAGAGTCTTCTGGATATATATATATATATATATATATATATATATATATATATATATATATATATATATATATATATAATAATAATATAATATTATTATTATTATTATTATTATTTTTAATCAGAATTACCTAAAATACAATTATTATAGAATGTTATCATACTAATAATTACAGTAGTAATGGCAATAATATATATAACAACTGCTATTCTAACAATAATATCAATAATATTTAAGAAGTATAACAGGTGGTAATGATAACGATAGATGACGATATCAAGAGAAACATTAAATATGATATATTATCGGGTGGAATATAGAATATATCTGAAACCAAGACATGGACGGTGTATAGATGAGTGTGTGAATGAGTTTATTGGTGACTGGATGAATGGGTATGTTGATGAATAGGTGAGTAGACGAATAGGTGGCAGAATGAATATGGGTTCGATGGATGAATGGAAGGACAGATAGAGAGATGTTTATGAATAGATATCTAGATAGTGGATAGATAAGTGGATTAGGTAACCGGAAATAATATAGATCGAGTGGACACAGCAACAATCACCCCATCGGGAGAGATACTCACCTGGTAGCGGCCGCCAGACGATCAGCCGTCGTCAGGTCTGTCGGCGGCGTCGGCGGGGAAGCCGGGCGAGGGGCGGAGCTGCCGGTCCGGTCCCCGCCCACCCCGGCCTCGGAGGCGGAGGTAGGCGGCAAGGGGAGGGGCGGCGAGGGCAGCGCCGAGGCCTGGCTCCGCCCACTAGGTGGGCTGGCCGGGCCGGGGGGCGGCGGAGGGGAGCGAGTGAGCCAGGCCGGTGGCGACAGCCCCAGATAGCGGAGTCGCCAGGCGTCCTGGACGAACTGCATCCGGGTTTGTTTACGCCACTTGGCTCGCCGGTTCTGGAACCATACCTGTAGGGCCAAGTGAGACAGATGTTGTAGAAGTAACAATAAAGTATAATGGGCTACGAGCATTGTATAAATCCCTATCTATTGGATAAACTACTTGCAGGTAATATATTAATACTAATGGACTCTAGTTTACATGGTGGGTAAGGGTTTTTAATGAAGGGATTAGTGACTTTTCTGGCTCCTAAAAACCCGAGAGATGCCCCGTTCTCTCGCGACCAGCCCTATCCCCGTACCCGCATAACCAACAACAATCACAATCATATCAATCATCTTGTGTAGTATAAGTATAACAATAATTATTGATTATATTTTTATATTATATTATACGACGAATTATATTTTTAAATTATATTATACGAGGAATTATATTTTAAATTATATCATACAAGGACTGATATATTAATTTATACAGTACAATATTTACAGTGTACATATATTTTTAATTGTGTATTTATAGATATATTTTAATTATATTTTCACCAGATTCATTCATTCCAGCAGCAACAATATATATTATTATTATTATTATATATATATATATATATATATATATATATATATATATATATATATATATATATATATACTTCATTTCTTTTCCTTTTCCACCTGTAACTAGCTGGAATTCTTCTATTCTTTATGACCTATTTCTCCCGCATAGGTCTAGCTACCTTGGACTTCGCATAGGCCTAGCTTCCCGTCCTTTTTATCATCCCTCACCCCCATCTCCCTACACATTCTCTCCAACCTCGGACAAGCAAACATTTCAGTGTAGATGTAAAGGAAATCATGAACAGGAGGGCATAACGTCAACACTCTACGGACGTCACGTACCACATTTCACTTCCGAATTTATTAAAATCGCTCGGGGTGCTGGTTTACAGGCTACATTTCTTCACGCATTAAACATAGACCTACCCCGACCAGCCTATGTATGTCCCGTACCCCAGAAATTTTTTCCGGGAAATGTGAGTGAGGTTAGGCCAAAGTATCTGAGTGTCTGATCTTCAACTTTGGACACACAAATTCTTAAATATATATCATGTAATCTTGTTCAATAAATTTCCCTATATAATTATAATAGGGATATAATTATTTATATCACCCTAAACTCTATATATATATATATATATATATATATATATATATATATATATATATATATATATATATAAGATCTGTCATAAAATATTTCTAAATTGGCAATAAAACATATTGAAAAAGAATCCATTAAAATAATTAGGTAATCTTATATTACTGTCAAAGGCTAGGGAATGGGGTGCCAGTGAGGTCACGTCTCTGTAAATTAAGCTTGTTCTTATCACCAACAGTTACAAGCTACAAGATAAGAAAATTAACTCATGACGATCTGTAGAAAGTTTTCCAACAATTTATATTTTAAGTGAAGTTTAAAGGTAAATTGTTTTTATAATTAGCAAGTGGTTATCTGAAGAACCGGAACCTATAATTATTGCTATATAACTATATAGCAATATATATAACTATATAGCAACCCGTGTTAAATGGGAGTACACACACACACACACACACACACACACACACACACACACACACACACACACACACACACACACACACACACACACACACACACACACACACACACAGGGGTCTGGTAGCTGAGTGGACAGCGCGCAGGACTCGTAATTCTGTAGCCCGGGTTCAATTCCTGGACCATGCAGAAACAAATGAGCAAAGTTTCTTTCACACCTATGCCTCTGTTACCTAGCAGTAAATAGGCACCAAGGACTTAGCCAGCTGTTGCGGGCTGCTTCCTGTGTGTGTGTGTGTGTGTGTGTGTGTGTGTGTGTGTGTGTGTGTGTGTGTGTGTGTGTGTGTGTGTGTGTGTGAGTGTGTCTGTGTGTGTGAAAAAAAATAGTTAGTAATAGTTGATTGAGAGTTGAGAGGCGGGCCGAAAGAGCAGAGCTCAACCCCCGCAAGCACAACTAGGTGAATACACAACATTTATCTCTCCATAGATTCCAACTCATAATTTCCCATCCAGTCTCCCTCCTCTTATCTCATTCATAGCTCCTTGCCCATCTCTCCCTTCTCTTCTAGCCCCTCTCTCATCGTCGTCCATAGCCCCTAACCAGTTACCTTTCAACACTTACCAAACGGATTTCCTCTCCCTCTCGCCCCCACCACTAACTCACCACTATCCCATCACTAACCAGCCCTTAATCCACCACTAACCCGCCCCCCTAACCCACCACTATCCATGAGAACCCACTAAGTCACTTTCTACCCCTCCATCCCCATTCTCTGGCACTTCCTTCCTGACTCTCTCTCGCCTACAGTCTTGTCTCCTTCCAATTCTCTTCCCCCGCTTCCCTTATCCTTCCAGCATCCTCTGCCCTTGCTACCTCCTCCCTATCCTCTGCCCCTTGCTACCTCCTCCCCATCCTCTGCCCCTTGCTGCCTCTTCCCCATCCTCTGCCCATCCCCACTTCCCTTCCCGGGCACCGTGAAAAGAGCGCCGCGCTGTGAGAGAAGCTTCGCTAAATTAAATTGGTTGAGGTGAGAGAATGCAAGACAAGTTTTACCAGATTATTAAAATTTCCTTTGTTGAAATCTACGCGAGTTTCTTTAGTAAATGTGAGTGTGTTATTGTGAGGAGTTGGGGGAGGGGAGGGATAAGGGGACATGTCAAGGGGGGGGGGTGGAGGTCGTGGAAGCGGGGGGGGTCGTGGTGAGTCGTGGAGGAGGGGAATGTTAGGGAGGGGTAATGTAGAGAGGGGGGAGGGGTTGGCGAGGAGGGGCAAGGGGTGGGTTCAAGAACGAATGGAGGGTGAGAGCAATGTGTGTGTGGTGAGGGGAGGGGTGTAGTTATCTCTGATTGTCAATGGTTGAGCTTCAGCTCCTGGGCCTACCGTCTTCACCTTTCTTTGACTGGCACCTAAGTATTTATATAATCTACGTATTGGATTTATACCGTTAAAGGAGGTCAGATACATTATATATATATATATATATATATATATATATATATATAAAGTACTCCTTGACTGTCTCTTCTTAACGATCATGTTCGTGATAGTGTGTGTGTGTGTGTATGTGTGTGAGTGTGTGTGTGTGTGTGTGTGTGTGTGTGTGTGTATGTGTGTGTGTGTGTGTGTGTGTGTGTGTGTGTGTGTGTGTGTGTGTGTATGTGTGTGAGTGTGTGTGTGTGTGTGTGTGTGTGTATGTGTGTGTGTGTGTGTGTGTGTGTGTGTGTGTGTGTGTGTGTGTGTGTGTGTGTGTGCTGCTGTTTGCATTTAATTGCCAGTGCTGACCAAACAACCCATCCCATTTGGGGCCTTTGGGACTTTTGATTTGCGCTGTGTCAACCCATCTTACTTGCGCAGGCGGTACGTGATATTACTGGATGTGTGGATAGGGATAGTAATCCCTATCATGCCAGCAAAGCTATGGAAACCCGACCTGGGATCATTTGCCACAACGGCTGGGTTATATCCTGGATCCCTCCTTCGTACTGCGCCTTTCTACCAAGCCTCATTCTTATTTACCTTCTGCATCTCTAAACCTTCATGGAATTTTTGTCCGGTTTCAACTCTGAGGAGTTCTAGATGTGATTCGTTCGATAATATTCCTCTGTTAGATGTGAGAAAATTTCCATCCGATTGAAGCCGTTTCATCATTTGTCATTAGCCGCTGCATACAAGATGAAACTCGTGTATTTAACTGAATCAAATCACACTTAAAACGTCAAAACTCCTGGAACGAATTTCCATCCTGTATGGAATATTTTGTATTATATTTTAGTTTTCATGAGATACTAGAAGGACGTGTATTTTCTAAATTCCTTCTCGGCATCATAAAATGCCTTCTAGGGCCCTGTAAGACATCATAGGAATCTGAAATGCTCTGATGGCATATGAGGTGCCTCTTGGTGTCTGGAAAGATTTCCTCAATTCTCGAAGGATTTCTTAAGTTTAAGAGCCATAGAAGGCTCTTAAAGATCTTCTAAACATTTTATTGGATGTTTAAGCTACTATAAGGCCTCCCAGACTCTCGAGAACCCTCTTAGGTTCTCAAAACAACTGTTAGGTTAGCAAAAACGATTCCCAGTCATATGATAAATTTAGTGGTTTTTAGCAGACACAAAGTTTCCTAAAAGGCGCTTGATAGGCTCACAAAACACATCTGTGATATTTAAGACTTGACCTAAGAATTAAAGAAGACCTTGGTAGAGGTGTAGGATACCTTACATGATTCCTTCATCCCCTTTGGTATGTTACGCTTGGCAGTCCTTCAAATAAAACTGTTGGGACATAATGTGTATATTATTAGTCTTTTCTGATCTTAGAAGATCTATTGCAATTATTTGACCCCCTTAAAAGAAATCTTACGAGTTTTGAAGCCCTTAAAATAAATCTTACTAGTTTTGAAGCTCTTAAAAAAAATCTTACGAGTTTTGAAGCCCTTAAAAAAATCTTACGAGTTTTGAAGCCCTTGAAAGAAATTTTACGAGTTTTGAAGCCCTTGAAAGAAATTTTACGAGTTTTGAAGCCCTTGAAAGAAATTTTACGAGTTTTGAAGCCCTTAAAAGAAATCTTACGAGTTTTGAAGCCCTTAAAAGAAATCTTACGAGTTTTGAAGCCTTTAAAAGAAATCTTACGAGTTTTGAAGCCCTTAAAGAAATCTTACGAGTTTTGAAGCCCTTAACGAAATCTTACAAGTTTTGAAGCCCTTAAAAGAAATCTTACGAGTTTTGAAGCCCTTGAAAGAAATTTTACGAGTTTTGAAGCCCTTGAAAGAAATTTTACGAGTTTTGAAGCCCTTAAAAGAAATCTTACGAGTTTTGAAGCCCTTAAAAGAAATCTTACGAGTTTTGAAGCCTTTAAAAGAAATCTTACGAGTTTTGAAGCCCTTAAAGAAATCTTACGAGTTTTGAAGCCATTAACGAAATCTTACAAGTTTTGAAGCCCTTAAAAGAAATCTTACGAGTTTTGAAGCCCTTAACGAAATCTTACAAGTTTTGAAGGCCTTAAAAGAAATCTTAGGAGTTTTGAAGTCCTTAAAAGAAATCTTACGAGTTTTGAAGCCCTTAAAAGAAATCTTACTAGTTTTGAAGCCCTTAAAAGAAATCTTACGAGTTTTGAAGCCCTTAACGAAATCTTACAAGTTTTGAAGCCCTTAAAAGAAATCTTACGAGTTTTGAAACCCTTAAAAGAAATCTTACGAGTGTTGAAGCCCTTAAAAGAAATCTTACGAGTTTTGAAACCCTTAAAAGAAATCTGACGAGTTTTGAAGCCCCTTAAAATAACAGTTAAATTAATTCCAAGATCTCGATACATTAGGTTATCCTTGATTTTACTGGGAGAACTAGAATTATTCCGGCCCAAAGCGTACTTCCTGAAGGACCCCGAGAGGAGTCTTACCTGCACACGGGCCTCTGACAGGTTGATCCTGCAGGCGACCTCCTCCCTCAGGAAGACGTCTGGGTAGTGGGTTCTCTGGAAGAGCGCCTCCAGCTCGCTCAGCTGCTGCGCTGTGAAGGTGGTCCGGTTTCGACGCTGTTGAGAATACAGAACACTGGATTACTACAGAGGCTGAGAGGTTGGCATACAGTTATTGATAATGGTGATTATGATGGTGAGAATAATGGTGTTGATGGTGGTGATAATGGTAATGAGAGTGTTGATAATAATACTGACAAACTAATGAAAACACAAAGAAACATTAACAATCATTGAAGAAACATCACAATCGACTTGAGAATGGTCCAGGACGGACCGAAACGTCGTCGTCTCTTCAATTTCTAGTGTGTGGTTTGGTCAACAAAGAAACATTCTCATACAAATTATTGCCATTAACATTAGTTGTAATTATATTACAATATTTTAGTTTCTAATTATCAAAATTATTACTATTACACTTATTACTTATTGCATCCTAACACCCCACAACCCAGACAAGGCTGCGCTTCGCCCAGACAGCATTACAATATACCCATGAAAGAGGGATAAACAGCTGGGGTGAGACTACACATGTGTAGCCACCCTGACTGACACCTATATACACTTCGGTGCTGATCAGGCAGGTGGTGCAGCCAACCACATAGGAAAGACCAAAATCAAACAAGTACAGGCTACTGGAAGTCGGTACACCTTTCTTCCAGTAGCATTCGAGACTTTATAGGTGCCTGGGGTAGGAGCGCCTTACGATCTGTCAAAGAATTGGGTTCCAGTCTCGCTGGCACTATTAGAGACCCAAGAGCTGCGAGGTTTTTGTTCCAGCACCAGTGTGTGGCGATCCAGAGGAAAAACGCCTGCTGTGTCCTTGGTTCGTGTCCGCAAACAGAGGAACTCCAAGAGATCCGCAACTTTTAACCTTTCATTGTATTCACAGATGTATAACTTGAAAATTTTAAATATCTAATAAGGCAAAACACACAAAAAGAGGGAGGAGGGAGGTGTGCTAGGGAAAAAAACAAAAACACTGCATTGTAGGGGACCTAAATATCCCCTCTAATGTATTGTGTGCATTAGTTCCAAGGCTATTGGTCCCCTTTTTCCAACCAGGTGTTAATCCCCCCATCCCCCGCCCCAAATATATATATATATATATATATATATATATATATATATATATATATATATATATATATATATATATATATATATATATATATATATGCGAAAACCCACATGTGAAAAATTAGAAAATGCTAAACGTGTTTTCGGCTCAATTCGCCTTGATCAGAGCATTTTAGAATTAATTCTTACTATGCGAACAAGCCTGAATGGTTGTGTTGCTCACGTGGCCCCACAAAGTGAAGTGATTCGATACAATAACTATGCCCAAGATTACCATCAAAGTGCCATCGGGATGATCGGCAAATAGACCCGGCTACCATCATCTTTTGTACGGTCACTGATGGTCGAGTGGTTATGGTCTCCTGTACACCAGTTGCATAGTGCTCCTGGCAGTATGGGTTCGAGTCACTTCTGGGGTGTGGAGTTTTCTTCTATATATATATATATATATATATATATATATATATATATATATATATATATATATATATATATATATATATATATATATATATATATATATATATATAAGTGATATATAAACAACGCCCACTTAATCGACAGATATAGCGACAACAGAAAACTGGACATCAGCGAGGCCCTATTCATCAAGCCACGTATCAATAGCCAACTAGCAACAAATTACGCTCTGTCAGCTTCCAGAACACGAGTGATTGATGAAGCTTAAGGCACCCAAGAGGTGACACGGGCACGAATAGCCCGTAATCCCAGAACACGATGGAACATGAAACATGCTTCTCCTCTTCAAGCAAACAGGAGCATGACAAGATTCAATGGACCTATAAGCGAGGAGCTTCACCTTCACCTGATCCCCTTCACCTTATCACCTTCCCCTCATCCTCAGATACATATCATGCAGCAAGAAGCTTTATAATCATTCGAACTCTACCCTTGACAAGGTTAACGAGAGTTAACGAAACGCATCTCTTAGCGTTAGGGGTAAATAAACCTGTAAAAATTAACTTAGGCGAGTTAATTTTTCAACTACCTTCTCAAGTGAAGAAACATTTAAGGAAAATAGAGAAGATTCGCGCAAGAATAATTTATATCACTTTTTCAGTTATATTCAACACTCTATGCCTACAGGAAAAACTATATCAATGTGTACATTATATATCTACAAACTATGCTAGTTACTAATTACTGCAACTCTAACAACCTAGTTAGCCAGTTTACCTGCCTATTAATCTAGCCTTATGCTCCGTTATATGTAATGGTATAATACAATAAAGTAGATACAATGTAATTAACAGGATAGTGTTATATGGAGAGATTAACAGGATAATGATGTGTTAACAGGATGGAGTTAAGAGGATTAGTGTTGTATGGAGATATATGATGAGATTAACATGTGTATAATGAACCTAACACCTATATAATAAGCTTAACACGTATAATGAGTTTATCACCTTCATAATGAGCATATTTGTATATCTGATGTACGTACAATGAGTGAACTTACCACCTATATAATGAACTTAACATCTGTATAATGGTTCCTTAAACCTGTATGATGAGCCTAACACTTATATATATGGAGCTGAACTCGTGCATAATGAGCTTAACATCTGAATAATCAGCTTAATACCTGTATTATGAACAAAACACCTGCTTAATGAAGAAATTACAGTTACAACCTCGATTATAAAATAATTGTAACATTTGTTCATTACTTGTTGTTCATTATAGGTAATCCAAGAGCATGGGACAGCAAGTCTAACACAACAAACATCCCCAACTGTACAATGAGTGGACATTGACTCACCTGTCTGCGTCGCCCGAACATGTACTCATCCATGAGTATTTCGGTGGGTAGAGGGGGTAGGCCAGCCCCAAGCCCCCCAGCACCTCCTAGGTACCCTCCCGCCATGCTGCTGCTTAAGCCGAATATGGTGGTGGTAGTGGTTGTGGTGGGGGTTGAGATAGTGGTTGTGGTGGTGTATGGGGGGATGGGAGAGTGGGGGGGTTTAGGGGGGAGGCTTGATGGGGGTGGAGTCGCCGGTAATTGTCGTGGAAGCGTTCGTACAGGTCGTGCTGGTGGTGACAGTGAGGAGGGTGACTGTTGGTGATGGTGACAGTGAGGAGGGTGACTGTTGGTGATGGTGTCACTGACCGGTGCTGTCAACGCCCCCAAGGGGCAGAAAACGGAATCGAATGTAGCATTGGGGGTCTATACTGGACCTAGCATCGCTATAGATCTTTTGGTTTGGCGTGGAGCGCGTCCTTCTGCTTGACGATAGCGGTAGCAACGCGTCTGGAGGCGGATATATTTATTGTACTTGCGGCAGGCAAGTTGTCAGAAGATATCAGATATCCTTCAGAGGGACTCTTCAAGAAGTGACCCTCAAGGTCAAATTCAAGGAGGAGGAGGTACGTGCACCTTCAAGTTATTACATCAGCATGTGTGTATTGGTTGTGATTATCAACATGTGATCACCTGTTACCTGAAGGAGGCTTCTGACTAGGAACCTGAAGAAGTGATGGGGCAGTGAAGACCAGCCGAGGATAACCTAGGGCTTTTTAAGTGACAACACAAAGCCTAATTATTGATCTTGTCTGATGTTTGTGCTTTCTGGTAGTCAGTCGTCAAGGTCACTGAACATGCCCCTGGTGACAGCATCTGCTGCTTCCTCTGGTGTCGAGTATACTAAGAAGAATATTCATTTAAACTCCTGTAACTTCTTCCAATTCAGGCACAAAAACGTGCTTAATTTTCCCTTTTTTTCAATATTTTCTTCACTTTCCGTGTCTTCTCTCTGGAGGATAATTAAGCACTAGAGGCGTGTATCCTCAGCACCACAGTCTGGAGCACGTGAGGCAGTGTGCTCGCACCAGCTCCCTCTCCTGCGGCTTCAAGCAACGTGGATAATATCGAATTTATATCCCTAGATGCATTCTTCCCCGTGTCGGCGTTGGTCCAGACATCGATGCTGTCTTCCTGTCACTGTAGTCTTGTATAGGAGGAGCTTTCAGCGTCCCGGCGCTTGTTTACTCAACGACCCACCAACTTGCACACTGCCAGGACGAGTGTAATTAGGAAATAATAATGACAGCAGTTATGACCAAGGGATTTATAGAACGCAGGAGACAAGGCGTGCGCACGCATTCTCGCTCCGCCCATCGGTCAGCAGCCAATCAGCAAGCGGGAAGTGGCACCTCGCGTCGAGTTGCCACATAATCCTTGCTACATTTTTCCCTTCTATTTACCGACATTCAACACCAACGTATACCTATCACAAATTCAAAATATAAAACTCATAACACACGCTTAAAAAAATCTAGAAACTAAATTAGAAATCGCTATACGTGGACAAAACGTTAAATATATGTATGTTCATACTGTTTAGGTGTGTATTCCCCTCGTAGGCGTTGAGAGGCAAGCCCGCCCATGTCGCTCATGGCAAGAGAGGGGAGAGTTGCTTGTCACAACACCGCGTTCTGTTACCTCTTTTTTTATCAGTACATTAAGACATTAATTAACATCTTGGATCCCCCTTGATTAGTATATTACATCCTCTTTCATGTTAACGTAAATGATATGCTTATTTTTTCTCCTAATTTGCAAGTAGATATCATCTGTTAATCATCTTTGATAAGGGTGAGGTTAGTATCACAGAAGAAATAATTAAATATTCTCACAATACTGTTCATAATATTTTTTATTTTATTTAATACAATGGTTTGAAAAATATTTCGTCATCTCCTTATTTTTTGTGGAATTATTAATCATAATTTAATTTATGAATGTCTTTGTTTTATATTTTCCGAGAATTTAGACTAATTAACGAAATGCTTCGTGCTGGTTCTGTATTTTTTGTCATTTATTTTTTTAAAGAAAGTTTTTGGTGAAGATTGAATTAGTTTTGCATGTTGAAATGTGTCTGTTTCTGTGTATGCATGTAAATGCAGAGTGTATGTGTACTCATCTATTTGAAGTTGCCTACTTGTGCCTACACGATTGAGAATTAGCTCTTGGACGCCTCCTTTCTAGCCGTTGGTTAAGGCAATGACTCCTTTTCTTTCCCTATCATATCAATTTTTAATTTTTGAATTGAGTTTGCTTCCAGAACCTGTGTGTGGGGGGGAGGGGTTGTGCTTGTGGGGGTTGAGCTTTGGCTCTGTGGTCCCGCCTCTCAACCGTCAATCTACTGGTGTACAGATACCTGAGCTTCTCGAGCTCTATCATATCTACATTTCAAATTGTGTACGTGTGCCTGTGTTTTGGGTGCATTTGTATTCCGTAAATCTTATTTTATGTGTGCACGCGTTTGTTGCATTAATTCAATGTTTGACAGTGTGAGTGTGTGCATGTCACTGATTTGTGTAAATTTGTGTCGTAATGACACAGGCACCTAGCTTCTTCCCCTTCCCTTTCCCCTTCCTTCTCCTCTTCCTGCCCTCCTTCTTTCTCTCTTTCCCCCCTTCCCTTCTTCCCCCCCCCTTCTACCCCCTCTGTACCTGGCCCTGGTTCCTCCCAGACCTCGTGTAGAGGACAGGATCCAGACATTTTATTAGTCTTTTTCCCCTTCTCGGGTGCCCGAGGCGAGGTGAGTTATGTACTCACCTAATTATGCTTGCGGGGGTTGAGCTCTGGCTCTTTGGTCCCGCCTCTCAACCGTCAATCAACAGGTGTACGGGTTCCTGAGCCTACTGGGCTCTATCATATCTACACTTGAAACTGTGTATGGAGTCAGCCTCCACCACATCTCTTCCTAATGCATTCCATTTGTCAACCACTCTGACACTAAAAACGTTCTTTCTAATATCTAAATATTAATAATATCTTTATGTGTGTGTGTGTGTGTGTGGGTGCTTCTGGGACTGTTTTGTGTGTACGAGAATGTTGTTGTTTTAATGATAGCTAAACCATTATACCAATATGAATGTATATATGTGACTATCTATACTTTGATGTTTATTCAAATAAATTCCACACTTACAAAGACAACATGCAAAAAGAAACAACTGCTTATTTGGATCTCATAAGTGCGACACCCTGATGCAGCTCGCTGTTGACAGTTGGACGAGAGTGTTTGACATGTATTACTTTAGCTATGCCTAACCTGTTGTCGGCAGACACGACAATAGGTCAGACATAGCAGAAGCACTATATAGCAAACACTCGTTCAAATCTCACCAGCCAACTTACATATTGGCAGTTCTTACTATCTACAGGATTGAGATTGAACCTCCAGTGTACAACACACCTACTTCCCTTATTTGTTTCAAAAAATATTTTAATACAAATAAATATTATATATATATATATATATTTACTTATATATTGATTTATATATTACAAGGTTTCTCGCCTTCTCACGCTACTGGGCTAGCCTTAAGAAGGAAGGATCCTAAAGCAACTAACTGCTACCTAATGGAACTTGTAATCCCCCCGTGCTAACTCTCGAACACAAGACACTTAGGTGATCTACGCCATGTGTCACCAAGCTTATGTACAACTGTACACTCTGTGACCCCCTCGAAGATTCGAACCTGCGCCACCAGAATACCGTATGTGTCACCTCGCTTGTGTTTTGTAAGTTGGGATATTACTAATAACTGAAAATCTGTTAATAAATTTATCGGGAAAACTACACCCCGTATTTCAGACTTCGTAGGAGTCGCTGAGATGCTGAATAGGAGTCGATCCTTCTTAGATAGACATCGGGGGACGACACGAAACACCCTATTATACTCCACGTCCAATCACAAGTCACCCTGTAAAGTTCTATGAGGATAGCCCTAAGTATCAGCTGTGCAACCGCGCACAGACATTCTCGCTCATAGATATATATTTCGATTTGCCATCCCTCGTATAGGTCTAAGTAAATGTATTTTTATAGTACACCACAATGTCTTCGCTTGGGATCCGATTGTTCTCAGTGCAATTGTCTCTTAATGGCTTTGTATTAACGATTTTATACAATTGTGTATTACTGTAATCGTTATTCTCAATTATTTGGCGGATACGTTCCAGTTCCTGGTACAAGAGCTGCTAGGAAAAGCATGTAAATAAACACCACCAAGTTATCTCAAGAGACAGTGAAGCAGCAGCCTATGCAGCGTGAGGATATATTAATAACTTCCCAGTAAATATAACAGTTATAAAAGTGCTTTCAACAACTGCGTTTAATGTGGTAATAAGATATGATGGTTTAGAATCAGTCCAACCGCGTTTTCTAAATCTCTTCCCAGCTTCGCTTCAGTTTGTAAACAAGAAATAGTCGCCAGGAGGCCTGGTCGACGAGCGGGCCGCGGGGACGCTAAGCCCCGGAAACACTTCACGTTAACTTAAAGGCAGGAAGTAATTTCATCAGGAGAATATCCACACTACTTATTCCCTTTCCGTGACTGTTAGGGCGACCGCAAGCAGGGCGACCAGCGAGCTGAACATCTGGTTCCTGGATGATGGCACCCTAGCAGTACTCACCAGCTCTTGATAGAGGATCTACAGCTGGTGAACTCTTGAGAGAGAGAGAGAGAGGAATTGGTACTCACCCTCGAGCCTTCAAAGAGTGAAAACCCTTCCTCTAACCAATCATTCATTGATGTAGTAAGACCCGCTTTATCAGGAGCCTCAATGGCTTACCCCCCCCCCCCCCGTCCCACCCCCTCACTGAGGGCCAATCTTCATCGAATGTTTATTGCAAGAGGGCACAAATAGGTTCGAATGCCATTGCTTGCTCTAAATCTCGAATGTAAACTTAATGTCCCAAGGAGGAAAATGGGCAGTGAAATCAAGCAGCACCTTACATCCTGCCCTACATCCTCTATTAGACCAAGAAGTAAAGGTATAAA